CGTTTAGCTGATTGATGAAGCTGGGGAGGGACCTGAACGACGACGTCATTGTCGTTGGGGGATGATCCATGCGATGCAAGTCGGTGTTGGAGCGTAAGGGATGCATCATGCATAACATAGCATAGAAGATAGCATAGAAGAGCAATGGAATGGAAAAGCATGGGAATGTATGTAGATCAGGACTACTGCTTCGAAAAAGTAAAGCTTCAAAGCAGAAGAAGGTTTAAGGAGATGTTTGATATTTGAGGAATCTAATGTGAAAGAAAAGCGAAGAAGGTTACCTTGTAGGGATCCATGGCTTCTTCGTGGCTCTGCAGAGAAGATAGAGATGAATTTTGTGGTGAAAATATGGTCACTGCAGTGGTGAAAGAAAGAAGAAGAAGAAAGAAAGGAAAAAAAAAAGTAAATATCCTTCAGAAACCAGGAAATGGGTGAAAGAAAGAAGAAGAAGAAAAAAGAAGAAGAAGAAAGAAAGAAAAAATTAAAAGATACCTAAACGACGTCGTCTCTTCTTCAACGTCCAGTCCGCGTCAGCAGACTAACGTGCCACATGGGCACCGTTAGTTTGACCATGACAGAGGAGTTGACAGAAGGACTAACGTGATCCTTTTTTCACAATTTTAGGACCAATTTGGTCTTTTTTTATTGCCAGGGACTAAAAAGGATTTCGTGGATATTGCCAGGTACCAAAAAAGGTGTTTACTCTATATATATATATATGATGTATTATCTCTATTTTATTGCTTTACACCAGAAATGAACTTAGGGGTGGAGGAATCCTCTAAGGACTCCTAATTTACTAAGATTATTATCTCATCCTGTGTGGGGACCATATTTCAAATATTAATGCTGATGATGTTGGAGCATCACAAGGCAAGAGGTCATCATAGTGATTTATTACATAACATGAGACTTGTGATCATAGGCGGACCTGCGTTGGGGCAAGTGTCTGCAAGTGCAGACACTAATTTTTTTTGGGGGGGGGGGGGTGAATTCACAAATAAGCTCGAATCCTTTGTAGTATACTGGACTTTGAAACTTCATCAACTCCTCTAAAAGATTTCGGATCATTTCCAAGACTATCACCCAACCCGTTTATCTCCTTTATCAAGTTCCTTATCGCTGAATAATTAATTTGTTCCTCCATTTTTTGATGCGCGAGCGAGGTATTGTTAGGTAATAAATTTGTCTTTTGGTACTAAATGATTCAAACACACTATAACCAGAGTTATTATTTCACTTCACTTTTGGTACAACATTTATTTCCTTTATTCAATTAAATTTCCGTATTACCCTTTAAATTACTTGTCATTTATCTTTAGGGTAAAATATTAATTACATTTTTAATTTCCAAACTCAAAATATCTTATTATCTAAATTTGTCTATTGTACTTTTATTTTTCATCCTTATTTTTTGTTTTCTATTTACAGAACCAAAAGCTTATTGCACTTTTAATTTTCAGGTTTTGGAGAACTTATTGTTAGTATATGGATGTCCTAGAGACAATCTTTTGATTAGATTAGGACATATGTGGACCTTTTTATATTGTCGCAAATAAATAATAAGCACTCTTTATCCTGTTTCATATTTTGTCTTAATATTATTGTTAATATATTATATGAGTAACTGGATAAACCCCTTGGAATAAAATAGGTATCTCTTGAGTATCTGTGATGAGATCACGATCATGAGGATTTAAGGATACCAAATGTTTATTCCTAATTTTATGTTCCTAGTCTAGAGACATTGAGACTGGGGATCAGTAATCTTGGGTAAGACTAGCACGACTTATCTACTTGTATTCGGATACAAGGTAAAGACTTCATGAGCTACAGATATGGAGATGTCTTAGCTAAAGTCATGGGTGGACCTATAAGGGTATAGCTCGCACTGAAAAGACCCATAAAGAGACTATATGAGGAAATCTTACAAAAGTATCATTAGAGCAGTATCTTAATATTTAGGTATGTCTTTCCTTAGACCATAAGTTGTCACCTAGACTGTGTTCTAGAAGGCATGTTTTGATTGTATACCTCATCTGCCTGAAACACGGAGACTCATAGGTATACTTTTGGGCATGTCCTGAAAGAGCACAGGCCTAGGGTGATAGGCTGAAGGAATTCGTCAAATCTCTGTAAGGGATTAGGTTATCTGTAAACCGGAGAAATCAGGATGATATTTACAGGACTCGGGAATCTATGCATAGTAAAAGAGATTATAAGATGATCTGCCTTTAGAGTCAGTAAATTAAAGATTCCCTATTTCGAATTAAAGCTTACCCTAAACCGCAAGGGTTGATACGTATTCTCACCCTAGGTTTAAAGGAAAGGTAACCGAGACGAAAAAAAATACATACAATAACCAAATACATGTAATAGGATAATCATGTCATTAACCTAACTAGCTCTGGGGCAACAAAGCATTGCTAGTGCTCTGTGTTGTCATTAAATGGGTTGTGGGCTTGTTGGGCCCAAACCCGTTTATGTCAGTGGCTATGTTGGGCCTAATGGGTCACACACTAACACCTTACTGTTTTGATGATATAGCATTAAAGGTATTGAGCTTAATAATGGTTGTTAGCCCAAGAAGAAGTTTGGAAGCCCACCTAAGAGGGAAAGGGCGCATGGTAGTAATGGGCTTGGATGGTCCAAGATATTATTAATTAATTTAATTAGTTAAATTAATTATCAAATATTTAAATTTTGAATTTAAATTTTGAATTTGAATTTTGAATTTAAATGTTTGAACATTTGAATTTGAATTTGAATTGGCTGTGAAAGGTTATTTCATAACAAAAGGATAAGATGGGATCTTGATTGATCAAATTCCAAGTATCAAGAGAAGATCTTTGGACATCTTCTAGCAAGATTAGGGCGCTGATTTGGTGATCCTTTGATGGTCATATGCTCAACCAAATAAGCTCCCATCAGATTTGGTTTGTTGAGAGAATAAGTGAGTGAGTTGGTTCAATTTGAATTGCAACTACTCAATGTATTTGGACTATTTTTGGGCTGAATAAGGGCGCACCAAATGGCTGGCCATATGATGGTTATTAAGTCATATTTTTGACTAGGTATAGACTTAGTCTCATGAGGATATGATAGGAAGTTGTTGGCTAGATTTGAATTGCAACAACTCCACTTATTCCTCCACCATTGGGCGCTACATAGGTAAGATTTTTGGGGAAAAAATCTGATTCAATTCAATCATTCTCTCATCTCCAAGTGTGCATCCTTTTGTTAGGTTCTCTTAAGGGTTTTTCGAAAATTACCTAGCCTCTTCTCATAGAACTTCATGCGCCACTTTGTGAGTCTTCATGCTGAAAATTCACTCAACTAAACACCTTGAAACCTAAGCCTCCTTCTCTCCTATAGGACGCCTAGCTAGCCTTCCTTGTGGTGTTCGACTGGTGGCTTTTAAGAAGTGTTCTTGCATCTTGACGTAGGGTGGTGTGGATCAACATTAGAGGGTTTGAACCTTCAAACCTTACACTTATCACTTTGGAGTTTTGAATCACGAACAAAGGTATCATTACGTCCTAAAGTACGTATCTTAATTTGCATGTGTGTTTCCGCTCTTGAAAAATTTTGTTTTCATCCTCACATGCCTACGGCCTTCAAGGCCATTTTCTTTCACTTATCATTTGAATTTCTTGCCACTTATTTTTTTATATCAAAGCTCGATTACACTTAATTTTGTAATCGAAGAATGCTTTTTGTAATCATTTTATTGTAATAGCTTAATTGACTCTTTATTATTTTTTTTATGTTAAGTTAAAATTTTCTTTTCTTTTCTTATTTATATTCTTTTGTTTTTTAATATATTTAATTTTTTTTTTAAAAAATAAATTTTCGGGGGCAGTTGAACCCCTGCCACTAAATATGCAGATATAAATAAATTTTTTTAAGTCTGCCAATGCTTGTGTTTACCATTTTGTTGTAAATGATATGTAATGAAGTTTATATGAGGATGATGTATTTTGGAGAGCATAGAGAGTAGCTATGTACCTTTTTGTATAAGACTTATATATTTTGATAAGAGAAACATGTATATGAACTTTATGTAATTTAATGTAGCCATGATGTATGTCAAAGATGAATCAATGATGTGGTTCATTATTAATTATGTCATGTTGCCTTTATGAAAATTCATGTATGTTATATATGGATATAAAGTAAGGGCAAGAAGCCTTTATGTAAGAATCTATGGATGAATTATAAGTTAAATTAGTGGATAATTTATGTTATATATGGATTATGCTTATTTGTGAATGAGGTACCTATGATTAAATTGGGAATCATCCCTAATTGTCCAAAGTACAGCTGAGATGTTGTTCGTTTTGTTTCTATTCGAGGTTGTATAGGATTATCAAACTCGGGTAGTTGATTAATGTCACTTTGGTATATGAAGTTTTAAGTGTGAATAACGTGAGGTATAAGAAAGTCTAATATAATTAATTTAATGGACATGAAATAAATGGAATGTATTGCAATATATTAGGAAATGAAAAAGTTTATTACATAGTAACATAGATTAATTGTGATTCAATAAGTTTAGTATCCCTATTTATTTAACTAAATATGTTGTGCTTAGTACTACATGTATGATAATACATCAGCCGCAAATGACGTGTACACAAATATCCAAATAGAACATTTTATTTGACAATTTCAAAACTAAATCCTTCCTTTTAAATTCTTTATCCACAATTCTAAAATCAGCATAATCAAATTAATTTCCATAACTGAACTACTTCGATGCAGTAAATGCACTCCTAATATCTTAAAAACTTAATCCAAAAATAATCAAACCGCTAAAAAAATAAAGAATACAAATAAAAACCTCGTAAATATTTTGTTTTTTTTCTTTTCATTTATATATCTTTGTGTCTCCTTAGAGGGAAAAAGAAAAAGAAAAACCAACCCTTTCTCTCTCTAGAAAAATAAGGGGCGCAAGGCTTTCTTTCTCTCTCCTCACCCTTTTCATCTGCAGCACACCATCGTCGTCGATTAATCCAAATCGCTTTGTTTTTCTACTCATAATCCGACGTTATAATCGCCGCCACCGCTGCACCGGCGATTCTCCGCCGCTGTCTCCGCCGTACGGCCATTAGGAATTTCACTCGCGAGCAGCTTAGCCTCCACCGGGAACCCGAATATTCGCGACTTGTTTTCGTCGACATTCGCCGCCGGCGATTCGGTTTCTGGAGATTCTTCGTCGGAGAAGGTGCGCACGACTGTTAACCTGCGCACCTCCGTTCTTCGCGGTTCCTCTGTTTCATCAAATTGGCCGAACTCTGTCTCGCTTCCTTGAGGTAGAAAGGTGAGCCTCTAGCTCTGGCTGTAATCGCGCATGGATTCGTTCCTGGTGTTTTGGTGATTCGGTTTACGGAATTAGGTTTCCGATTGCGGATTTAGGTCGTGGTCCGAAGCTCGTAGGGGTTTTAGTGGCGAGGAGCTTCGTTCGTTTCTTGTAAAATTTACTTGTTGATCCGTTGGTTTTACAGTTTTGGTTCGGCTTTGCTGTTTTTTTTGTTTGTTGAGCTTGTTTTTGATTGCATGGTGATGAATTCGTGCATTTTGGCCAGCGCGGGGGTTAGTGGAATTCGGTTTTGACCGTTGAAGCATTTGTTTCAAGTATTGCCTTTCCCCCCTTGATCAATGTGATTCTATTTTAAAGCGGAAAGAACTTGTTTTTTTTTTCTACGTCGTATTTCAAGTTTGAAATCAAATTTAGTAAGTTCTGGTTTTGAATTCAACCTGAACAAAACTAGTTTTTGAATTTCATGTGCAATTGGCACGCACTTGTTTTGCTAGAAGATACATGGAAAAAATTATAACAGGAGTTTTGTTTTTTATTAGCTCATTAACCAGTGGTTTGGCAAGGGATTTCAACTCACTGATGCTACTGGTTAGTTGTTCTGCTAGTAACAGCTGAGTATACTTGGTTGTTTATAAGATGCAAATTGTTTTTGTCTCTATTCATTTCCTCTACGTTCTTTTGAACTTGTTGGAGGATTGTAATATGGGTTTTTGTATTTTGTTAGTTAATTTTACTTGCATTGTTTAGTATTATATTATCATTGTATGGCTAATTGCTTGAGCATGGTTCAAGGTCCGACTGATCATCTATCATTCTCTTGTCCAGACTTTGTGGAGACAGAAGATAACCAAATGAGCAAGTGACATATAACCGGGTTTTTAGTTATGTTTAATTGCTCTTACATTGAGGAGATTGAATGAAGTAAAAGAAATTCTAAGGTTCATGACAGGATGGCTTTCTTTAAGAACTTTTCACATAATGCAGTTTCACATAGTATCTTGGAAGATAAAAGCCAAGGACAGAATTCTGAAAGAATCCGTAGATCAGGTGGTAATGAATGTGCTGATGCAACTTCTAGTGATAAAGAATTTGATATGAACACGGAGCAACAGTATGGGAGTGATGGTGAACCAGATGGTGCCAGTGGGCTGCAAAACGAGGCAACTGCTGATGATCGAGTTGGTACAAGAGAATCAAACCTTGAGACTACTGGCAGGAAAACAGCTACAGTTGGAAGGTGGGGTTCTACATTTTGGAAGGACTGCCAACCTATGTGCCCTCAGAATGGTTCTGAATCAGGGCGTGAATCAAAAAGTGGATCAGACTATAGAAATGCAGGTATGTCTGAAGATAATTGGTCGGAAGGAAGAGGGGAAAGATTAGATTCAGAAGATGATGATGGACAAAAGGAATCAGGAAAAGGTTCAAGAGGTCATTCTGATGTTCCTGCTGAAGAGATGTTGTCTGATGAATATTATGAGCAGGATGGGGAAGAGCAGAGTGACTCTTTGCATTACAGGGGTTTTCATCAACCCACTGGATCAAATTCTTGGCCTCAACGGATGTCTGCTATTGTCAATAGACGTGTGCATAGAAAATCTAGGATTTCAGATGATGCTGAAGGTGATGATGGTGATGCTGATTATGAAGAAGAGGATGAAGCAGATGGTATGTTGAACACTGTATTTAAATATAGAATGTTTCTGTATGATGAAGTTCTACTCTTGAAAACTACTAATCTAGCCCTTGTTCTGTTGTTATTAATAGAGATGTACTCCTGTCATGCATTTTTAATTTTTTATTTGTTGATACCTTGCAGAAGATGATCCTGATGACACAGACTTTGAGCCTGCAACAAGTGGCCGTGCTGCAAATAAGGTTGCCTATTTGTTGTTATTCTTATTCATTATCATAGTTTGTGTTTTACCTTCTGTGTAAGCACGTGGGATTCTAAATGTTGCTATCCTACCAATCATGAGGGAACGATTATTTGCTGTGGTAACTGTATTTCTTTCAACTGCTCCAAATGTGTTTTGTTTCCTTGTGGCCCTCATTATTTTTTTCCTCATAATTTTGACTTGCCAAATGTGCCGTTAAGTGTACAAATTGCATCTATCAAGACCTTTTTGGTAATACTGTCTAGGGGTGTAAATGGGCTAGGCGGGCCTACAGAGGCCTACGACCTAGCCTATATTAGGCCAGGCTTGGCCTATTACAAATAGTAAAATAGAACAGGCCTAAGCTTTTAAAAGAATCTGTTTAGAAAACAGGCCATAGGTTTTTTGGTACATGTCGGGCCTATAAGCCTACAGGCCGGCCTATATCATATTATTTATTTTAAATAAAATAAATAAAAGTATTATTTTAATAATTTTGAATAATAAAGTAATATTTGTTTAGTTATTCTTTTAATTGTTGAATGTTTAATAGGCTTAAACAAGCTAATAGGCCTATGCCAAGGCTTTTATTTTTCAAATATAGGTCAGGCCAGACTTGTAAATTGGGACCTACACAGGCTAATAGGCCATGTCAGACCCAACGTTTTTTACGCAGGTCTAGTCTATTTAAGTTAAAGCCTAGCCTGACCCAACCTATTTACATCCCTAATGCTGACTGTAGATCATTAGATTGCATGGGGAGAAGAGTTGTGTTGGATTTGCTCCTTCTTTTGGGCTAAAGATTTAGAATAAGCATATCTTGGTCATACTAGTTTGCTTTTTGTTGTGAGATATACAATAGTATTGCTAGGATGTGTCATCTGGTAAAGACGGTTTAATCATAGAAGAAGTAACCCTAATGTATGTAGTTTAAAGTAATGGTAGCCTTACTCCCTTACACCCTTCACTCTCCCTTTTCTACACTATTGACTTTAACAATAGATCTAGCAGAGTCTCATCAACAATTTTCCTGCACACTTCCACATGTAATTTGACGAACTGGATGGTGTGTAAGCCACTCAAATCCCTTTAAGGGGTGTGTGGCTAACTGGCTAAACTTTCTCTATAATTTTAGACTAGGACATGCCATTAAGAATATATGTCCTTTTGTCGGGTTGGACTGTCTATGGTGTACATGTGCTAATTAGGGTTCTATTGGACTTTGTTAGGGGCTTAATTTATTTGGTTGTTTGACAATACATTAATTCGTTTTACACTGTCCGTTGTTCTTTGTTTCTATATTGGGGAAATTGCAATTAAACCAGGTTTAAAATTTTCACTAAGAGACAAGGCATTTATTTTGAATGCATTATTTTGATGACGTAGAATATAGTCAATGTCCTAAGTTGTGTAATATATGAAGCAGCTACATTTTTTTCATGCTGCTGTTGTTTGTCGTGTTTGGTGAACAAATAAACAGTACTGATCATCAGCTTTTCTTTGTATTCATAATAAAATTTATTGCAACGGAACAGTGGGTACCTTTCTTGCAGTTTTTAATTCGCAATAAGGACAACAATGACTGTTGCTTCTGGTCATTTTAGGAAATTTAAGTATCAAGTTTGTATCTTTTTATAAGTTCTGTCTTTTGGTAGACTGCAATGGGTGTTGTTTGTACTTGTGCTAGTTTATTCATTAAAACTGAAACCTTGCATTAAAAAGATTCCAGTATTTGGCATTAAAATGCATTCTCCGCTTGAATGCCACATGAAGCTAGTGATTGAAAGCAATCATATAATTTTTTTTTATTATTAATTGATTTATCCATTAAGATATTTTTTATTTGATTGCATTTAAATCCAGTATTTAGCGTTAAATGCACTCCTGACAAGCATTTCTTTAAATGTATGGTTTAAATTTAATTATTAAATATAATATTTCTAGATAATATTAATAAAGAGAAATATATAACTTGGTCAGCTTTGTGTGATAGAGAATTCGGGGTAGTAGATTAAAAGGATTTGTAACTGTAAAGAAGTGGGATAAATTCAAAAGGAGAAAGTGTATCAAGTTTGCTAAAAGAAAATGGCATACTGGATAGAAAAATAATTGATACTACTAGACTACTAGATGATTCTAACAAAGAGAAAAGTATAATTTGGACAAGGTTTGTGTGATCAAGGTAGTCAAAATCGAGATCCTACCTAGGATTGAAAGGGCGAGGGAAACACATAAGTTGTGTGATTGTAATATGGATCGGAAGATCCTACCTAGGATATAAAATTATATTCAAACATATATTTATGCATATAAAATAACAAATAAAAAAAATAACTTTAAATCACTACTAAAATTTAATTAAAACTTAAATTGCATAAGTAGGTCACATACATCTCATAAGTCACAAACTCTCAAGTTAAGCACCAGAACTAGCACAGGCATCCCGACTGCCATCAGCGTGTGCAGAAGCAGAACAGAGAAGAGGTCAGGAGCCAGAGCAGTGGCTGACTAGCCGAAAGGCTTCTAAATGAAATGGGTCTTAAAAATCGGGTAAGAGTTGGATTTATATGGTCAGGTGGGTGTGGGTCTTCAAATATGGGTTTTTTATGAATGGGTGGGATTTTCATGGTTTTACGTTCCTACAATCTTGCTCTATGATCCTTCATGATCTCAACGGGATTGCTAGGGCAGAAAAAACCTTAAGATTGTTCAATCCTATGAGGAAGATCATGATTTTGATTACCTTGAAGTAAGATGAAATGATGAATATAAAAGGTGAAAGTGTATTTTACGAGTTTTTTTATAAAATCAGTGGGATGATCACGATCTTACGTTCCTACGATCTTGCTCTACGATCCCACCTGATCTCACCAAAACGAGTTTCAAAGTGTGAATGAGAGTAAGATTGTGCAATCTCACGAAGATCGTGATTTTGTCTACCTGGTGTGTGATACAGAATTGGGGTAGTGGATTAAAAAGATTTATTACTTAAAGAAGTAAGATGAATTCAAAAGGTGAAAGCATATCAGGTTCATGAAATGAAAATGCCATATTGGATAGTAAATGTCTAATAATTTTGAAGATAATAAGTGAAATTCAATATAATATATGCTGAGAAATGTGTTTACATCCTGTTATGTTGTCCCATTATATAAAGGGCATAGATATTTAGTCAACCTCAGCATGGATCCAGTTGATATGAATATCCAGTTTTCCAATTTAATCATTGATAAGTAGATGATTGGTCATTAAAAACTGAAGTTCATTAATTGCGGCTTTTGTTTATTTTTTTTCCCTAAAAGGGAGAAAGAATTTATGTGATTTTTTCTCTATGCTGTTTTTTTGGAGATTGGTGGTCATGATGCTGCAAAATTTGGGTTCAGATTTTTATTTTTTAGCTAAATGTTTTATGTATGTTAAGAAACAGCTACCCATTTATTTTTTCTCTGTAATTAATTGTTCTGTTTGGAGTTTTTACTGAGCTGTAGATTTTGCCTTTAAATTTGGAGCAAGGAGGAAAACTTTTTGTGGTTCTATGGGGTTTATTCAGGTCTTTGGTGTGTGTGGTGGGGGTGAACCTCCCAGAGAAATATGGGGAGGAATTGGAGAGCTATTTTGCACTAATGATCTTGTTTGTTTTTGGTTTTCTCCTTTTCTTTTGTATTTTAATATATTGTTAATTTGTTCAGGAAGATATCTCGTCCTCCTGTTTACTTGTATCCCTTGTTTCTTCTCTCCATCTGACTCAAGGAATGGATGATGTGCCTCTTCCTACTTTCACTTCTATCCTTTTTCGTTCCAGAACTTAGTAAATTTTGCACATCACATCTACCTTCACCCAAATTATCAAGACTAGTTTACCATACATTGATTCTTTGATCTATTTTAATTTCCTAGGTTGGATCAAGTTGTTTGGCTGTCTCCTTGAGTCCTTGTAGTATACATGTGATGAACACATCTATGGTGAAAATGAGTACTTTACTGAAAATATGGAAGATATGTTTGTAAGTGTAATGTAACATTAAGATTCTACTTCCAAAGCTTCAACTAATCCTATATTGAAGCTCAAAGTATATATTTCTCCTTTAGAGAATCATATTGAAAGGTGTGGAATGTTTGTTGATGTTTTTTCATCAAGTAATTATTCCAATATCTTACTTTCTTTTGGCAGAAGGAGGGGTTTGTGAATATATTGTTTAGAGAGATTATATGTTGCTTTACTGTTAGTTTTGTGGCGAGTTTCCTGTCTTTTTGTTTTGTTTTGCTGGATTTTTCTGACTATAATTAAGTGGTTGAACTGTGATTCCAGGATAAAGATTGGGAAGGTGAAGACTCAGAAGAAGCTGATGATAGTGATGAGGATGTTGATGTCTCAGATAATGAAGATTCTTACTTTGATAAGAAGGCTAAGGGAAGGCAACGAGTTAAAGTTGGACGAAGTGTAAAATTTTCTGGAGATCGCAAATCATATACTGCGTCCAGTCGACAAAGAAGAGTTAAATCATCTTTTGAATATGAAGATGATGAATCTGCAACTGAGGATTCTGATAGTGAGAGTGGTGAAGATTTCAGAAGCATGAAAAAGAAAGGTGTGCATGTACGTAAGAATAATGGTCGTTCTGCTGCTCCCACAAGTTTTTCTATGCGCAACAGTGAGGTTCGCACTTCTAGTAGGACAGTTAGGAAAGTATCATATGTTGAAAGTGAAGAAAGTGAAGAAGCTGATGAAGGGAAGAAGAAAAAGTCCCAAAAGGTACATCCTACTAATTATGTTCATAACAAATGCTTTTCACACTTTTGAGCATGGTTTCTATCTCTTTTAATGTCTGTATTTTAGTGCAAATGTTTTGGGATTTATCTATCTACCAAAATTCCCTAAATGTTACACATCTGTAAGATAGACTAATAATTATCGTTGCTCTATGGAGTAAAACGTTATATCCAATAGGCTGTTTTAGATTGTGTCACAAATCAACATCAACAACACCTTTATCCTAAATTAATTGGGGTCGGTGGTAGATGAACCCAAATAAAAGATACAAAAAGATTAAAAAAATAAAAATAAAAATAAAAATAAAAATAAAAATAAAAATAAAAATAGAAATAAATAAAATAGAAATAATATACATATATATATATAAGTAAAAAAGAAAGGGAAAAGGAGAAGAGGGGGAAATGAAGAGGAAAAGGACTAAAAATGACCATCTGGAACATAGGAATAACAACGGGTCTAACCCTCCACCATGCTTATAGCTTTTCTCCATTTCGTTCTAAGGCATACCGTCCGCCAATCTATATCCCACTCCATTAAATCTTGTTTTACTACTTTTCCCCAAGTAAGTTTCGGTCTACCTCTACCTTTTTTTGTGTTGAGCTCTTGGTAACAAACTTTTGTTCTTACGGGAGCATCCAGGGGCCTTCTCATTACGTGCCTAAACCACCTCAATCTATGTTCTCTCATCTTTTCAGCCACCAGTAGTACTCCTACCTTTCGTCGAATATCTTCATTTCTTATCTTATTCATCCTCGTATAACAACACATCCACCTTAACATCCTCATCTCTGCCTATGAAGCACCGATACCGACACAGCATTTTCGATACGTTCCCGATACGTTCCCGATACGTGACTTCGATACGTTACTTAAAAAATACTAATATTTCGATACATTCCGATACGTCTTAGTATTAAATAATATTTTTAATATATAGAATATATTTCACATTATTTATGTATTTGTTTATTTACTAAATATGAGTATAAAATATGAAAATTAAACAGCACCCATTATTTACATTCACGTCATGTATTTGTTTATTTTAATTTTCTGCATTATTTATTTAGTTTTATTATAATTACTTGTCTTTTTAATTTCATGATATTTTACCACAACAAATAATTACTTAAAACAAGCTAAAAGTCCAAGATTAATGGGCTGTGTACCAAGCCCACCAAAACAAACTACATGGACAAAACTTGCTTGGGCTTTTTCTTTTAAGAAAAATATCCATATCACTAAACCTAATCTTTACTTTCTTGAAAACCTACAACCATCTCAAGCGGCGGCTAGTTTTGGGAAAGGAAGATAAAAAAAAAAACACAATGGTGATGTGTTGCAGCAACAGGAAGATGAAGAAGACCGACTGACTAGCAAGATGGCTCGCACGGAGCTCTGGTTCGAGAATGACGCGGAGGAGCTCGAAGTGGGTTTGTGGTGGTGTGACGCGGCAGTTGGCTACTGGTGCGCGACGGAAACAAGAGATTTGACTGTGTCAAAATTTTGTTGACCGATCGATACGGCAAAATGGGTATCGGAAGCGTATCCGTCTGGGACGCGTGTCCGATACGTTGGAAATTTTTTTTGGACGTATCGGTGCTTCATAGATCTCTGCTACTCCCATTTTATGCTCATGTTGTCTATGTGCTGGCCAACATTCAGCTTCATATAGCATTGCAGGTCTTACTGCTGTTCTATAGAATTTTCCTTTTAACTTAAGTGAGATTTTGCAATAACACAAAAACCCAGATGCACTATGTCATTTCATCCACCCTGCTCTGATTTTATGATTTACATCTTCATCAATCTCTCCACCTTTTTGCAAAATGGATCCCAGGTATCTAAAAACATCTTTCTTGGGTACCTCTTGACCACTTAGATGCACGGGATCTTGGTCTACATCTCTTACCAGAAAAAACTCACACTTCAGATACTCAGTCTTGCTCCGACTTAATGTGAATCCTTTAGATTCCAACGTGCTTCTCCACAATTCAAGTTTTCTATTAACACCGTCTTTGTTCTCATCAATAAGCACAATATCATCTGCAAAAAGCATACACCATGGCACTTCCTCTTGAATATCTTTTGTTAGTTCTGTAAAGAACCTTGAGATACACCACCCCAAAAGCTAGCTCAAAGGGTGGGAGTGCCCATGGCCTTATAAAGGCCACATTAGTTGCACATACAACCAATGTGGGACTATATATCTCAACACGCCTCCTCACACGAGAGCCCATTGGGCTTGATGAGTGGACAATGCAACAGACCCAACCTACCTGTGCTAAGAAATGTCCACAAGAGGAAGTGGGGGGCGGGGAGGCTTTGATACCATGTAAAGAACCTTGGGATACACAGGAGTTTATAAGGTCTTGGGCACTCCCACCCTTTGAGCTAGCTTTTGGAGTGGTGACCTCAAGGCTCTTAACATGGTATCAGAGCCTGAGTGACCATAAGGTTGCAAGTTCGATCCTCACCGCCCCCCACTTTCATGTGGAATTAAGAAAAAGCACAAGGCAGATAAAAAAAAAGGGCTTGTGTCATATCCACGCTTCTAGCCCAAAGGGCTTTTGCGTGAGGGGGTGTGTTAGAGAATAAAATATAAAGTATTAAAAAGACCATCACCTATCACCTTAAGGTTTTGGGTTGAAGTGGTTCTTTACAAGTTCATCCATAACTAAGGCAAAGAGATAAGGACTTAGAGCCGACCCTTGGTGTACACCTACCGTGATAGGAAAATAACTTGGTATTCCGTTACAAGCTTTAAAACATGTAGTAGCCCATCATACATATCCTTGATTGCCTTTACATACTTTGATGGTACTTTTTTCTTCTCCAGAACCCACCATAAAACTTTCCTTGGAACCCTATCGTATGCTTTCTCAAGATCTATGAACACCATATGTAAGTCCTTCTTTTTTTCTCGATATCTTTCCATTAATTGTCGCATCAAGAAAATGGCTTCCATGGTATATCTTCCTGGCATAAATCCAAATTGATTTACAGAAACCTTTGTATCTCTCCTCAAACGATGTTCAATAACCCTCTCCCACAACTTCATAGTATGGCTAATTAGCTTAATGTCTCTTTAGTTAGAACAATTCTGTATATCTCCCTTGTTTTTGTAAATAGGCACAATCATATTTTTCCTCCATGCATCAGGCATCTTATTTGTCTGAAGAGTTTTATTGAAAAGATTGGTCAACCATTTTATTGCCACATCCCCCAGGCCTCTCCACACTTCAATAGGGACACCATCAGGTCCCAAGGCTTTATTAGTCTTCATCCTCTTTAAAGCCTCCTTAACTTCATGTGTATTAATTCTGCGCACAAATCTTCTATTCAAATCATCATAAGCGTCCTCCAAGTCCACCTCGCTTATATTGCCATTCCCATTAAACAGCTTGTTGAAGTAGTTCATCTATCTTTCATTTACATCTTTATCTCTCACCAAAAGTTTTTGATTTTCATCCTTGATACATCTAACTTGGGTGAGGTCTTTACTTTTCTTATCTCTTATTTTTGCAAGTTTATATATACCTTTTTCACCATTCTTGCTCCCAAGATTTTTATACAAATCGGCGAAAACCTTGCCTCTAGCTTCTCGCACTGCTTTCTTTGCATTTTCTCTCGCCAATCTAAACTTTTGCAAGTTCTCTTCACAAATGACAACATTTTATTTTTGAACGATTTGTAGGTTGCCCCATCTTTGTACAAGTATGTAATGACAACTCCCTTGAAACAGCCATTAGAAGAGGACTATAAAGAAACAAAAATTACAATTGTATCCCAATGTAAGATTAGGGACAGAGACGCCCCTAAAATTGTGACTCCAATTAAATGCACCAAAGGATTTTATAAATTGTACATTGCCCTAAACTTTTTGCCTCCTTTTGGCTAAAATCTTTAAAACTTAACCAGCAAAAACTGTTCCGAAGTAGGAAGAAACACCCATGATTATTAATGTATGTACTATTTTGATATTTTTTCCCTCTTTATTATTGCTTGGTGATTGGTTGTACTTAGCATGAAACTATTGTGCAAAAAGTTGAGCATTGCTTATAAGGTGACTTTCTATAAAGCAATGGAAGGTTTTTCTTAATTGATAAATAGAAGATTGAGCATTTTCAAGGATGTAGGTGAGGGATTGGCGCCTTTTATCATGTGCTTATTGTCTTTCAGTGAGAGAGAATGAGTGGGTTGGACTGGCTTGATGAAGGGCTTATGACTTTCAAGGTGCTGTATTGAGTGGGGTATTGCCGCTTGTGTTGTAGGTGAAGGTTGTTTTGAATTTGTATGTAGTTGGTGAAGATTGTTTTTTGTTTTGATGGAGAGATTTTATTCTTGAGGTTATTGATTAATTGAGAGTTTATGCTGAAGTTGGTGATTTCAGAATCAGTAGCTTCATGCTTTTGGTTTCTCCACACTACCTCGCCGCAACCCGCACCAGAAACGCAATCGCGCGCGATAGCGCCGCTATTGCAATCATAGGATACACCTGATCTTTGTCTGAGGTGCAGGTGTTTTTAAGGTTGTCACACTCCGAGAATCTATGCAGACTTGTGGAGGTCCTCGTCTCGTAGACTTTACAAGTAAACTCTTACTAGTTTAAGATTACACAATCAATATTAACATCAACTTAATCTTAATTAGTTGGGGTCGGCAGTCGTTGAACTCAAATAAAACGAACAACAGATTAAGGGAAAAGAAATAATAAATAAGAAAAAAAGGATTTTACTGTTACAAGAATAATATTTTAAAAAACTGTCATAGTAGATAAACATAATTTAATACCGAATGCATAATAAATAATCAACATTCCAACTTCTTAATAAATTAAACCAAAAGAACAAAGTATGATAGTGCTTGTTAAAACCTTACATAAATGACCAAATCGTAAGTTCATAAGATTAAATCATAAAAGTCAAGAATTCATGATCTTTTAAATTCAAATCCTCTAACATTTTCTTCTTCATCACCGTCTTCATCCTGATCATCATCATCATTAACAATATAACAATTGAGAGGTCTCTTTCACAAATAACAAATGCAAGAAATGACAATAAACTAATGGAAGAATTATCAAATTACCAATCACAAATAACAATTCTGTAATGACCTCAACCAGAACCAATGAACCAAGGCAAGAGAATGAACAGGTTCTCTAAAACCATTCCGTAATTACAGTTTTATAATGACCTCAACCAATGAACCCACTAATCAGTGGGTTGAAAGAATGGGTTGCACCTTGAAAGAACAGAACATAATGAACAGGTTTGAGCATGAAAGAACAAAACCAAAGATAATGAGCAGGTTCATCCATGAAAGAGCAAATCACAGTGGGGTTCGAAATTGAAAGACAAAGACCATAACCCAATGGGTTAAAGCTGGAGTTTGAAATAGACCTGAAGTTCATGGTTGAAGCTGGCTTCATGATTCACCATTGATTTGAAGAAGCTGGGTTCACGATGCTGGATGCTGTTTCACAACTGCTCAAAGCTGGTTTCTATCTCACATTGCATTTGTGCTCTGTCTCACAATGGCTTGGCTCAGGGTTTGCTGAAAACTATAAGGCTAAGGGTCTTAGCAACGCACATGTTTTGGGAATTTCGTTTTGGCATTTGATCACGATTTCAGACTCGTGATCCAGTTTGACCTAGTTAATTAGAGTCTACCTGAGCCTTTGAAGAACCGAGGTTGTAAGCGTGTTTTTGGTAGCTAGAATCATAAACTAACTACGGTTCTACAGTTAACTAGTGAGTTTGACAACCATCCATGGCTGCAAGTCTATATCAGTTTATTGCATCTATCAAAGGATCTGTGTACTCTGATATACAATGCAGATTCTTTTGTGCAAAAAGATTATGATTTCTTAGTTACATTTTTATATTTGTCTTTTGTTTGCATGGGCATGAATTGCTAGATGGGACTGTGAGATATTGCTTAGCTAAGTTAATATGATTCTGCCTATTTACTTGATGTACACTTTTGATTTATCTTTATTGATGATGTTTTTTTAAATATTCTTCAGGAAGAAATTGAAGAGGATGATGGGGACTCCATTGAGAAAGTGCTCTGGCATCAGCCTAAGGGCATGGCTGCAGAGGCTCAAAGGAATAATAGATCAACAGAGCCTATGTTAATGAGTCACTTATTTGATTCTGAACCTGATTGGAATGATATGGAATTCTTGATAAAATGGAAAGGCCAATCACATTTGCACTGTCAGTGGAAGTCTTTAGTTGAGTTGCAAAACGTATGCTTTTCATTTGTATTGTTTATTGTGCACTAATAATAGTTATGCTGTTGCATTGTTTCTTTATCCCAGTAACTATCTTGCTTTCCATTGTTTTGGTTGATCTAGATTTTTCCTCTTTTCTATTTTGCTGAACTGTAATACATTCTGTGTATATGAGATTGCAGCTCAGCGGTTTTAAGAAAGTTTTGAATTATACAAAGAAAGTGACAGAGGACATCAGGTATAGGATGGCAATCTCAAGAGAGGAGGTAAATGGATCAAGCTACTAGAATATATTTTTCTAGACTTTCTTGTTGATTTTATTGACCGGGAAACTATAATTTCTGATAATTATTTGGAAGTAATAATTTATCACTTCACCTTACTGATATTTGAAGTTTGTTTATGGCAAACTGCTTAACCTGGCTTTTGTTTGTAAGATATCATTATTAGCGATTTTTACTTTCTACTTTTCAGTACTCACCTTTGGATAAAAGTGTAATAAAATGGGCTATGCATTGTGAACGGTGGTGTATCTGTTGGAAATATATAGTATGTTAGGTATTGGCCTCAAAAAGGCATTTGAAAAAAAAGAGATGATGGCTAAATTGTTAAAAATAATGTATAATTTACTAATCTGTATGGTTTATGATTGGAATTACGATTTTACTCATTGTCATGTGCTTTGTGGTTTTGATTATTTATTTTAGATTCTCTCATCTATCAACTCTCTGTTTCTGCATAGAAAGTTTCTACCCTGATAAATTGAAGCAATTGCATAATCATTTTATTTTTATTTGAGGGGGGGTGGGGGTGGGTGTTTGCCATTCATTTTCCCTTTTTAAGAGGATTGTTTTACTTTTGCACTATAAGAATTTACATTTAAGTAAAAGAAAAATGATCTTTATCATGATATATTAATATTATTCATTTGTTTTAATTTTTAATCTTTTCTTGGTGCTGCATGTAGATTGAGGTCAATGATGTGAGTAAGGAGATGGATTTAGATATTATCAAGCAAAACAGTCAGGTTTTTTTCCTGCATTTCATCACTTTGGTGTTTCCTTTTTCTTGTTACCTCGGATGTATTTGAATTGATTGTTGCATTTTTAGGTTGAAAGAATAATTGCAGATAGGATTAGCAAAGATAATTCCGGCAATGTTATTCCAGAATACTTGGTCAAATGGCAAGGACTATCTTATGCTGAAGTGACATGGTATGCTGTACAAAAGATTTAGTAATCATTTATTTATTTATATTTTCATTTCTCTCTACCTCCATTGCCTTCTTAATAGGAAGGAGGATAGGTTGATCTTTATGTATTGGGGAGCACTGTGTTTTAGGTCATTTAGTGAGTGTTACATTGTTTTTTGCTGTTTTTCAGTGTTTGTGTCGTTATATTGATATTATGTAAATTGACATGTTTATTTTGTTTGTTCATATAACTAGGGAGAAGGATATCAATATTGCTTTCGCTCAACATGCTATTGATGAGTATAAGGTAGCTTCTATTTAATCTAAATTTTCTCATTAGATTGTGTTGGCTTTGGGACATTTTGTTGTTTGAATGGAATGCATGCTATAGTCTTCTTATTATGGAAGTTATTATCCAACAATTTGGTCCGTAGTTTAGCGTGCACAGCATAAGATGGCATGGGGGGCTGCAACGAGATTGAAACTTTCATTGAACTTAGGATTCTGGATATGGGTACAATACAAGATGGACATGAGGACTTGGTGATGCAAAAAATTTAGGATGCTATATGGCAGGGATATGACTTGTTGGATTGATCTTTTCCTACAGTTGGAGATTGAATTCTTCATAGATTTTCATACCTTCTTTAATCAACAAAAAAATAAAAGAAATAAAAAATAAAATACAGGTTTACATACTTTGGGTGTCCATGCTTCCTTCTATTGAACACTTAGTGGCGAATACTGATAGACAGTTACTTTGTTTGGAACAGAGCATTTGGTAGTGAAACATTTGTATCATGGCTAATTAGTTGGGATCTTTAATATATTCCTTTTGTTCCATGTTGCTGCCAGTTGCTTTCTCCTTTCTTTTCTCACTAGGGAATCATTTTGGTTCTCTTATGCAGATTTTTTTTTCTTTTCACGTGTCTATCCAATGTATATTTTGTTTCTTGTATCTATGTTTATCATTGTGCAGTTGTACAAATTCATCCAGGGAAACTTTATAGATTGTAAGCTGTTTGTTCTGTTATATTTGAACAGGCTCGTGAGGCTGCCATGTCAATTCAAGGAAAGATGGTAGATCTTCAGCGTAAGAAGAGCAAAGGTTGGTATCTGTTAGGTATTATATAAGCTTGTGTATGGCAGTGCTGTTCTGAGAGGTTGGTGCAGAATGCTAATGTAATTTGCATGTTTCTGTGCCTCCTATTTAACTTCTCTTCAATAAAACTGAGCACATATTATTTGCCTTGCCTACACACTTGACGTGGTTATTGCTGCTGTATGGTTTGTGCTCTTGCCATTGTTCTACCATATGTCCTCTACATTCTTGGTTAATTTACATGACAAATACCTAATATGTTTTGATACAAGTTTTCTAATTTTTCCCCGGATAGCTCTCTTTAATCTCTGCTTGGAGTTGAAGACAAGAGCTGACAATCCTCTTTATGTAGTGTAGCAGAGCCCTAGTACTTTTTTGTTTATGTCATGAGTGACTTCTATGTCTTGAATCTATTGCTAAGTATTCATTGTTTAATAGCACCTGTTGGCACTTTAAAGAAAGAGCAGGATGAGAGATGATTGATTTGAGTTTGTGTATGTTGTGTAGAGGAATAAATTAAGACTGATAAATGCCATCTTCTTTTTCCGGTGTGCAAAAATATGTAGAGGGGCAGGAGAAAATTTGAAAGCCGTTAGTTACTGCTGTTTGTTTTTCTTGGTTTCTGTACAGAGATTATTTATCCTTTTCCTTCTAAACCCCATTTTACTTCAGAATGTATAAATAGTGACTATGAAACTTTGTGGCTGACAAAACTATACATATAAAGGTCTTAATCCTTATATTAGTGATTTATCTATTGCCAATTAATATTATCAGTGTTTGAAAATGTGATTATAAAACCGAGTATTATATTTCTTTAGGGAACTTAACTTTCTTTTCATTTTTTTGTCTACTTTAATCATAAATGGAGTTATTAGCAAATAAATTATTAAAATTTAAACTTAGATGTCTCGCTTCTACATTTGTATTTTATAACCATTAACTGATAGAATCTTTGATTGTTATGGCTCAACTCAAATAAGTGTTTTCCTTTTATGATGAGGATTGCCATATTTATCATTTGTTTCTAGTTCCCCTGTCTTCTAAGGCCTTTTCCTTCTATGGTTATTTTGGTTTCTTTTCTATTGAGTACAGTATGAAGAAATTTCAGGTTTAATCATTTCATTTACATAATATTATTTGTTTATATTTGTAGAAATGTGCTTTTAATCGGTGGTTTTGTGATGTTTAGAAAGTTTGCGGAAACTTGAAGAGCAACCTGAATGGCTGAAGGGTGGAAAGCTCCGGGATTATCAACTTGAGGGTCTGAATTTTCTTGTTAACAGGTATGTATGTATATGCATAAAGTATGCTTTTTGTTATTTTGTTTTCTAATTCTATGTTCATTGCAATTTGACAGTTGGAGAAATGATACAAATGTAATCTTAGCTGATGAAATGGGTCTTGGTAAAACAGTTCAGTCGGTATCAATGCTTGGTTTTTTACAGGTAAAGTATCGATTATCTGTTTGGTTACAACTCTGTTCAATGTAATAGATAAAATGATAAATGTATTTTTGTTTCCTGATACAGAATGCCCAGCAAATCAATGGTCCTTTTCTTGTAGTTGTCCCATTGTCTACCTTATCGAACTGGGCCAAAGAATTCAGGAAGTGGCTTCCTGATATGAATGTTATTGTCTATGTTGGTACTCGTGCAAGTAGAGAGGTGAGACATATTTCTTTGTGAGTTTTTGGTTCATATATGAATGAAATTACAAAATCTGTCAGATATTTGTATGGTGTAGAAACATTATTTTTTATTAGACTGTACTGCAGATATGCATTCTAAATGAGATAACATCGGAAGGGAGGAGGATATTGTCTTTTATTGCATGAATCCTTAAAATTGTTAATCAGCTTCTATGCCCAACATCTCTTTATATGTGGATTGCAGCATGGCCCTTCAATTTGGTTTAAGAACATTTATAATATGTACAAAAGTAGGTGAACAAAATGAATTTGAAAGGGGGTAATCTAGTGTGGGATTTAACACCAGGGAAAGGTCTTGTTTAATCCTTGTTCTACTTTCATTTCTTGTTTTTTCTTGTATCTTTTGACCTTTTTTTTATTCATTGAGAAGATGGGGATGATGCTCAGTTGGAAGAGAGTTTTCACCCTTGTGGCCACCATGCTTTCATTGGGAACTGTGATCATTATTCATTCTCATCTAGCAAAATCATAATTTTGTTTCTCCTTGGTCTTTCATTCATGTAACTATTTCTTGGTTAAGCCACCTTTGCTACTGCTTTAGCATCTCAGCAAGCTCAGTTTCTATGCATGTACTTGAGGTAAAATGTATTCAGGAACCTTTTTTTTTTTTGCCTGCGTGGCTGTATGGTTTGCTCTGCCTTGCATTCAAGTCATGAATTTGCTGCTTTGGTTGTATCCTGGGAAACATGGATCTTTACATCTCTAATTATCAGCATTAACATGTATTTTTCTTTGAGCTCTCGAAGTTTTAGAACTACTGCTTCTAATCCTTAATTATGTCTGTAGGACACTATGGCATCCATATTTTAGGACCTTGGTCAGATGCAAAGACTTGAAAAGGGTATTCTGATATATTATAGAATTGTAAATAATCTGTACAAAGGGTTCTCTATTTATAGAGAATAAAAGACCTAATACCTAATGGGCTTGGCCCAATACAACAAATAAATTAATAAATAAGAAAATAACTATTATTTACAACACTCTCCCTCAAGCTGAGGAATAGATATTTATCATTCCCAGCTTGCTAGTAAGCTCTTGAAATCTGTTTGAAGGAAGTCCCTTTGTCAATACATCAGCTAATTGACGTCCAGTGGGAATGTATGGAGTGGTAATCAACCCGCTATCAAGTTTCTCTTTAATGAAATGGCGGTCGACCTCAATATGTTTAGTCCGATCATGTTGAACTGGATTATGAGCTATACAAATAACGGACTTATTATCACATAGCAACTTCATAAGTCTCTCACATTTTATTTTGAGATCATCAAGTACAATATTTAGCCACAGTAACTCACAGATACCTTGAGCCATAGCTCAAAATTCAGCCTCTGCACTTGATCTGGCAACCACATCTTGTTTCTTACTTCTCTACGTCACCAAGTTACCACAAAGAAACATACAATAACCAGTGGTAGAACGACGGTCAGTCACAGATCCAGTATAATCAGCATCAGTGTAGACTTCTAAAGAAAGATCTCCATCACATCGGAATAACAGTCCTTTACCAGGAGTAGCTTTAAGATACTGAAGAATTTTCTCCACTGCCTGCATGTGTTTCTCCTTTGGATCATGCATAAACTGACTGATAACACTAACAGCATAAGCTAAGTCTGGTCTAGTATGAGCCAGATATATCAATTTTCCAACTAGCCGTTGATATTGTCCTTTATCAACTGAAGGACTCTCCTCTTCATAGCCTATCTTGTGATTCTGCTCAATAGGAGTATTAGAGGGTTTACACCCGAGCTTTCCTGCTTCTTTGAGAAGATCAAGAACATATTTCCTCTGGCTGATAAAAATTCCTTTTTTTGAATGAGCTACTTCTATCCCTAGGAAATATCTCAGTTTCCCAAGGTCTTTAATTTCAAACTCAGATGCTAGTCTTGTTTGCAGAATATGTCTCTCCACAAAATCATCACCTGTGATAATAATATCATCAACATATACAAGGAGCACAGTGAGCTTTCCATCTTGGGAGTGCTTAAAGAAAAGAGTGTGATCTCCTTGGCTTTGTTTGTATCCTAAGGTCATCATAACCTTAGTAAATCTTCCAAACCAAGCACGAGGTGACTGCTTTAATCTATACAAGGCCTTTCTTAATTTACAAACTTTATTTTCTCCATTCACAGAATCAAAACCAGGAGGGATTTCCATGTAGACTTCTTCTTCTAAATCACCATTAAGGAAAGCATTCTTCACATCAAATTGATTTATATCCCAATTGTAATGAGCAGCAAGGGACAACAAGACTCTCACCGTATTCATCTTTGCAACTGGAGCAAAGGTTTCTTCATAATCAATGCCATAGGTCTGAGTGTAACCTTTGGCGACTAATCGAGCTTTATATCTCTCAAGAGTGCCATCAAAGTTATACTTCAGGGCATACACCCATCTGCACCTTACTGTTTTCTTTCCATTGGGTCTTGTTGCGAATAATCGGCAAGTGTACCGATCGTACCAAGTAATAAAGAATGAGTAGAGTATCGTCTCCACGAGGATTGAGGCACCAAAATTATTATAACTATTCCTCTCTTGTTGGATTAATAAAATTGATTTGAGAATAATTGTGATTGTAAAAGTGAGAACAATTTAAAAACTTGTGAATAATTCAAAGATGTCTTTAGAACAAGTTGAGAATAACAGATTAAGATTGAGAAAATAATTAAAAGAATATTGCGGTAAAAGACGCCAACACCTTTATGATCCCCACCTTGTAACTTGAATTAATGTTTACATTCAATTATGCAATTGATCAAACGATTCACTATCTTTTATTTAATTGGTTAAGCCTTAATTCCTTAATGATCTTAACCTTATTAACTCTATTAGAATCCTAATCCCTTAGAAATCTCTTTTTAAGTTGAGCCTTTGAATCAGTGAATCTTTCACGTTTGCGGTTCATGTAGCCTATCCCTAGTGCATACATGAACAGTTATCTTACCTCTTGTCAGGAATTAGAATTCTAATATTCCTATTAGAAACCCTAACCCTCGCAATCCTTAAAGAGTGATCAGTTCTAGAAGAATTATAAGATGAAGAACAAGGTAAAATAAATGCATTTGAAATAATTAAATATAAAAATTAACCAAACTACAAGGGGTTCACATTAAGGGTTGTGACCCTTACCACAATAATAAAAGACTAGCTAGACATATTCATGTCTGACAATTTAATGTAAGAAAGAGAAACCATGAATAAAACAATAACCAGAAAATTTGAAGAAGAAAGCTTGAATCTTCAATCCAAACGCTTGCTTCGATCTCTGCCTTCGTATTCTTCTCCGTGCAAAAAGTTCCTTCTCTTAGGGTTTCTGACTCCCTTTTATAACGAATGACTCAATCAGCTCAAAATCTTCCAAAAGATTTAATTTTTATTTCTGTTTTTATTCAAATCTGTAATTCAGGAAACTGTCATCGCGACGCCGCGCGATTAGCGCCATATCCGCGCGATTCGCGCGGACGATTAATTGAAGATCCCTGTACTTGGCGCGATCAGCGTGACCATGCACGTTTAGCGTGAAGAGGCAGTGAGTTGGCTCTCTTTCTTCAATCTTGGCGCGACCAGCGTGAGATTCACGCTATTAGCGTGAAATGACAGTAATCATCTTGTTTCTTCCTACATAAATATAGAATCAGAGTGAAAGTGTGCTTGAAGAGAGATTATCAAGTATTCATTAAAAATACTACTTTTTATCACCGAATTACTGTCAAATCCTTGTTCTTTTTACTCTGGAATACTTATATGCCGAAGGCACATCAGGTCTATCAATAACCTCCCATGTTTTATTTTTCTCCAACGCATTCATCTCCTCTTTCATGGCTTGAGCCCAATTCCCATCTTTCAATGCTTCATGTACTGATTTTGGGATTGAAATAGAATCTAGTGTTGAAACAAAGCTTTTGTGCTTCACAGAAAGATTAGTAGAAGAAACAATGGGAGAGAGGATATTGAGTACAAGAGGGACAGGAGGAACAAGATTTCTTGGTACAAGATCTTTTCCCTTTTCTTAGGGCAATAGGTAAGTCATCAGAAGCAGAAGTAATGGGTAAGTCATTAGAGATATAAGAAGAAATAGACAAATTATGAGAGGCAATAATATTAGAATCAGAAACAGGAGATTCGGAAGAAATAGGAGATTCAGGACTTACCAGTGGTTCAGACGATTGAGGTTGCTGGTGAGACAGTATGGGTTTTTTCCTCCTCTGATATACCAATTCAGGTGTCAAAATCTTTCGTATCTCAGGTGTATTTGAAGGTTCTGACACACCAGGAGGAGACACACTAGGAAGAGGTGTAGGAGTAGACAAGACTGATGTATTTGAAGGTTTTGACACACCAGGAGCAGACACACTAGGAAGAGGTGTAGGAGTAGACAAGACTGGTCCAGACTCAAAGAAAGAAGGGGATGAGTCTTCTGAAGAACTGTTCTCTCCCTGAAGATGAAGACCCGGGAAATAAGATTCAGATTCTTGAAAGGTGACATCCATAGAAACAAATTTTTTTTGGACTTGGTGGATGATAACACTTGTATCCTTTTTTATAAGGGGTATAACCAAAGAAGACACACTTAAGAGCCCTAGGATCCAACTTACTCCGATGTTGTTTATGAACATGGACAAAGGCAACACATCCAAACACTCTTGGTGGAAGGCTCTGCAATATGGGAACAGAAGGAAAGAAGGAAGTCATGGAATGAATAGGACTGGTATTGTTAAGGACTCGTGAAGGTAAACGGTTGATCAAAAAGGTTGCAGCTAACACGGCTTCTCCCCAATAAGAACTAGGAACAGATGTCTGGAAAAGTAGTGCTCTAGCAACTTCAAGGAGGTGACGATTTTTTCTTTCAGCAACTCCGTTTTGTTGAGGGATATCAACACATGTGAGCTCATGAATCATACCTCTGTCTGAAATGAATTGTGACAGGCATTGGTTGACGTACTCAGTACTATTATCAGATCTTAGTCTTTTAATACACTTACCAAACTGAGTCTCAACCATGTGATGAAACCGAATAAATATCTCTGGTACTTCAGACTTGTCTTTCATCAAGAATATCCATGTTACCCGAGTACAATCGTCAATAAAAGAAATAAACCACCTTGCACCTGAAACACTATGCATTTTAGAAGGGCTCCAAACATCAGAATTGATAAGAGAAAAAGGTTTGCTTCTTTTAATAGTGCTAGCAGGAAATGACACTCGATGGTGTTTTGCAAATTCACAAACATCACAATGAAAGGTCTCAACCGACTGATTAAGAAACAGAGAAGGAAACATAGACTTCAATAGATTGAATGGTGGATGCCCCAGACACTTGTGATGGAGCCAAATCATAGACTCTGCAGTAGAAGGATGCCGTGTCATTAATAACTGATTTTTGCTATCATTTATAACATGTTCTGGATGGAGATGATACAACCCATCCTGCTCATTAGCAACTCCAATTATCTTCTTCGTGGTAAGATCCTAAATAACACAATGAGAAGGAAAAAATGTGATAGAACAATTCAAATCAGTTGTAAGTTTTTGAGTGCAGATAAGATTAGTAGAAAGCTGAGGAACATAAAGAACATTTTTAAGAAACAAGGAAGGTTGAATTTGAATGTTACCAATAACTGATTTATGGGATCCATCAACTACGGATATAGTATGACTACCAACAGTAGGATGATAAGAATGAAAAAACTCAGTACGACAAGTCATATGATCAGTTGCACCAGAATCCAAAATCCATGAGGTTTTAAAATCAGTGCAAGAAGCAAGAAGAGATGTAGAACGTGTGCTCTTACCAGACAAGATCAAAGAACAGTCAGATGACTTACACATATTATCAATAGCGGGTTTAAGCTGATCCAACTCCCTTTGCTGAATATTCACATATGGAGAACCATCTTCTAAATTGGCCATAGTGATAAGAGTGAAAAATAGTACCAAAGAACACACAACGAACACCCAAACGGCGTCAGATTAGAGAGAGAAAAACACAGATCCAGGTAGAGGAGCAAAAAAAAAACAACTTTTTTTTTTCTGAACAGTACCCGGTGAACAGTATACGATGAACAGTACCACGTGAACAGTGCGCGATGAATAGTACTGCGTTTTTTTTTTTTGAGCTGTTCCGGTCGTCTGATGAAAAAGAAACCTCCGTAGAATGATAGATCTAAGAAAAACAGAGTGAAACAGGGGTCCTCACGGTCCAAAAGGTCCCCGGAAATTTTTTTTCCGGTGGCGGCTTTGTGGTGGCGAGAGGCAAATAGGGTTTGGTTTTTAAAGACGATGATTTGCGGAAGCAGAACCCTCAGAATCGAGAGCTCTGATACCAACTTAAAAAGGATATTGTGATATATTATAGAATTGTAAATAATCTGTACAAAGGGTTCTTTATTTATAGAGAATAAAAGACCTAATACTTGACCTAATGGGCTTGGCCCAATACAACAAATAAATTAATAAATAAGAAAATAACTATTATTTACAACACAAAGTTCAATCATCCTATACTGATTTAGCATTGGAGAGCAAGATGTAGCTTTGATTATAAATTTTGTTGAGTATACCATGCTATAATGTTCTGCCCACCTAGCTTTGAGCACTCATTAATGTTATAAGTGTTAACCCGTGTCAAGGTCTAGTCCTCTTTGTTATGCTTGGTGATTTGTTACTGGAAAGAAAGAAATAAAACTAAGACTTTTGCATCTGATATTTCTCTGAGGTGATTTCTAGACTGAGGTGATTTCTAGAGTATCTTATTGGACCTTTGAGAAGATTAATTGGCTGCTAATTTAACAGTTTTGGACTCCAGAAATTGGATGTGGTTTTGATGGATGATCTTTTTTCACTGTTTTTGGAGATATCAACCTTACTTTTTATTGGCTTTGATTATGTAAGAATTTCTTCTTCATTTTTCCCTCTTTGTGGCAGGTATGTCAACAATACGAATTTTATGATGATAAAAAGGCTGGCAGGCCTATAAAATTCAATGCACTGCTGACTACATATGAAGTAGTTCTCAAGGATAAGGCTGTTCTCTCCAAGATCAAGTGGAACTATCTGATGGTAGATGAGGCTCATCGACTAAAAAATAGTGAGGCACAGTTGTACACAGCACTTTCAGTAAGCTACTTCTCTTAATTTTAGTAGAGCTATTGTTTATTGATATTGAGGTTGGTCTTTTTTAATTTTTATTTTTTTTCTATGATCTTTTAGGAATTTAGCACCAAGAACAAGTTGCTTATCACGGGTACTCCACTCCAGAACAGTGTTGAGGAGCTATGGTATTGAAAGCATTTTTTGATATGTTAGACTTCTCAAAAGGACGTGCATCTTTTGAGGGATTGTTAGATTTCTTATTATTGTTGAACTGCAAACATTGCTCCAATTTTGAAGTTTGTATGGGAGTTTGTGTAAAATAATTTCACATGTTTGTTGCTTGTAAGATAAGATTTTTTGTAGTATGTTTGGAATTATTAATTTCACACTATGATATCATATTATTATTTAGTATGTTTAAATTGATAATTAATGAGAGATATGGTGAAGCAAATTTACCTTTATGATCTAGAAGTATTATATGGATATAAGAAACCTTAGACTTATGACTAACGTGCTATTGGAATAAAGTTTAGAGAGAACAGTGTCACTTTTTAAATGACAATTTGGCAAAGTAAAATCAGGCAAAATCACGGCGGAAAAACATTAGTTTTACCCTACATTTTATGATGTGATTTTCTGTTGCTCTTCCTGAAAGTGCATATGAAAATGCATATAATTAACTACTTCTTGCCTGACTTACTAGAGTTTGTATTAGGTATATTTTGTGTCCAATACTCGAGCAACTAATGTTGATACCCATAAAGTCATACACCTTTAAGATGCATGTACATATTATTTCATATCTTGGTGTTTCAGCTGGTCCTTACCTATAAAGAGCATGCCTCAATCTGCATGCTCATATCTGAAGGAAAATATTTTTTCCATTAAAAAAGACGAAATCTTTGGTTGGTATTTTATTTGAATATCATTTCCAATTTAATGGTTTCTAATTAGTTTACTTGATATGTTATCATGAATGATGCTAGTACCCTTAATTTTGTTTGCTTTGTCTTTTCCTCTTGTCTATATAACAGTTTCCCTGCCTCCCCTCTTTTGTTTAGGGCTTTGCTCCACTTCCTTGATCCTGATAAGTTCAAGAGCAAGGATGACTTTGTTCAAAACTATAAGAATCTGAGTTCTTTCAACGAGAATGAGGTATAACATACCATCAATATCTTTATTTTTTAGTTCCTTAATTTTCTTGATCTTGACTATTGGCTTCAGTGTAAATTAATGTCCACATATTTATTTTAGCTTGCTAATCTTCATATGGAATTGAGGCCTCACATACTTAGAAGAGTTATCAAAGATGTGGAGAAATCATTACCCCCGAAAATTGAGCGTATTCTTAGGGTTGAAATGTCTCCTCTTCAGAAGCAGTAAGTGTAATTTTTATTTTAATAAAGATTATTTGATATTCCTACAAGTTTACTATCTAAACTCCTGCTATTGTTTGCTTTAATTTAGGTATTATAAGTGGATTCTGGAACGCAACTTTCATGATTTGAACAAAGGAGTTCGAGGGAATCAGGTCATAATCTCTATCTCCTGCTTCTGTAATAATCATTCATAATTACCTAGATGGATTCCTATTTCATCTCTTCATAATTGTTGCCGTTCGCTTAACAACTTAATCTTTTTGGATAGTTGGTTCTTGACATGGTATTATAACTTCTATGATTTAGTGATCTAGAGTTCAATCAATCCTTGCTGCCTTTTTTCTTCTAATAAAGAGTTGAATTTCAATAGTAGGTAATTGAACCAATGCATTGTCAGCTCTTGAAGTCCAAACGGATGTTGTGTGAGGGGGCTTGTTAGAAATGTGATATAAAATCATTAATTTGCTTTCATGAAAGTTTGGTCATGACTATGATATTGATTGTGAGAGAAGGAAACTCTAAATTGTTTGGGTTTCTTATTTTGTAATGCCAATACTTGGCTTTTAGTGTGTAAGTCTCCTTGCACCAGGTAAACTTTATTCTGAAAGATTGGGCTGATTGGCAGAGAGTTAGTGGGGGGTAAATATTCTATTTATTTCTCTTCAAAAAAGAATAATAATGAAATAAAGTGCATCGACAACCACCTTGGTGCATATCAAGATGCTATTATAGTTTTACTGTAAATGTGGTACTGTGTAATGGGAGGGAAGGAAGTATCATAAAATGTTATATCTGTTTATTCTTAGCTAATCTGACAAATTTGTGATAGCTTTAATGATGTATATTTCTAATTTTTCCCCTCTTAAAAGATCATCACTGAATTGAAAGTACACTTTATCTGCTATGTTTCAGGTTTCCCTTCTAAATATTGTGGTAGAATTGAAGAAGTGCTGTAACCATCCCTTCCTGTTTGAAAGTGCCGATCATGGTTTTGGTGGGGACTCTGGAAATAGTGACAGCAGTAAACTGGAAAGAATTGTCTTTAGCAGTGGCAAGCTTCTCATACTTGATAAGCTACTTGTCAGATTGCATGAAACAAAGCATCGTGTTCTGATTTTCTCTCAGGTTTGTTGTTGAAACTGGTGTGCTGGATGTGCTTATTAGATATTAGCTCATGTGGCCAACAATGTTACAGCATATTTTGACTGAATGATTTGATTTATTGTTATGCTGGTCGAGTGATTTTTCGACCCTTACATGGCTTTAGCTTTTAGGTCAAGTGATGTCTGACTTGGTAATGTAGCTTCTTTGACCAAGTGGTCCGAAGATCAAATTTTGTCCTTTTTTTTCACAATTAAGTTTTAGCTTCAGTTCAGCACATGGCTGTGATGAAACTTATTTTCATAATTCTGTGCTTCCTGATAGTCTTTTGTATGACAAGATGGGTTAGAGATTGTTTATAAAAGTCATCTTTCTTTATGTAAAGAGAGACTATGATCCTTTACTTAGGAGTTTAAGGTTTAGGTATTATAATAAGTATCTCATTGGCTAAATAAAAAGAAAGACTGAACACAAGGATTGCGAGAAAAAACTATTTCTCTTTTATGAATTTTATTTAACCAAAAATAACCAAATAACAATAAGGTTCTCCAAGCCTTAAATAGTCAAAACTCAAAACAAAACAAAATAAAAATATAATCAAATAGAATCAAAAGGAATCATGCGCAATTAAAGGAGATAACACACACTCATACATAATCAAACAAATAACAAAAAGGTAAATAACCAACAATTATTGTAAAACCCTAAATTATGGATAGCCCAAAACTGTTGATGCCCATGGCAAAGCGACGAGTCTTGCTCAGAAGCTCATTTTGAGTTGTCTATCCAAATTTGATCTCAATCCAAGTCGGTCAGCTTGGGTGCATCATCGTCCATCGCTAGGAAAAGATTTGTCTTCGATTTTGCTTCATATTCATTGATATCAACTTCTTCAGGTGGTAGTCTAGGTGACGTGACAACTCTTCTGGTACAATATCACCAAATTCCCTAATTTAAAGGAGAACTTGTGAATGCAATTCTTTGATATGCTTGGTATGTTCATATACATTTGAACTAAACTGCTTGGGAAGAAATGATGCGAGTTCTAAGGGAGTAAGTGAACAAAACCCATGGACTATCCCAAGATGACTATTTCTTGTATTTTGGTTTAGTGATCGCATTTGTGATCCGTTATAGGAAAATTCTGCCTGAGGTAACATCAAGTCTGATTTTCCCTGATGATCTCCCATTAAACTTCTACCAAAAGCTAAATTGTTATCTCCATGGAGCACGGGGTTGCTATGTTCGTTGTGCCCAAGTTCATAAATTTTCTTGCAAATTAAAGACTTCTTGAATGAAGGATCATTCCCCATGGCGTCTTTGGATAGAACTTCAGCTTTGTTAGAGATATTAGAATTTCTAGTAATTGACTTTACATTGAATCACTATAAAGGATTTCTTCCGCCTTTGGATTCTCATCGTCTTGCTCCTTATCATACTTATCATAGATAGGGAACTCGTCATGAACCGAAGCATCTATAATTTGATTATCATCATCTTGCTCTTCATCGGATTCATCATAGATAGGGACCTCATCATAAGTTGGATACTTATATATTTGTTCTTCTTTGGATTCATAATAGACAGGGACCTCATCATTGGAGCTTCAATAAGCATCATAACCTACTGATTTAGACAATCTGTAGCGAGATTTCCAATCCCTGGACACTCAAAACATCTTTTTGCTGCAACACCTATCTTTTCTGCTCCATTGTTGGTTGATCCTTCTTTGCTTGCTGGTTTAGGGTTAGAAAGAGTTTTACCCACACCAATGTTAGTTGCTGAGCCCAATAACTCCTCGCTATCAGAAAATATAGGTTGGAATTTTGAAGTACCTCATTTTCTCTTACATTGTCCCTCTACCTTCAAAGCTAGTCGACATACATCCTCATATGACCAATATTTCTGCAGGTATACAACATCTGAAATCTAAATTCGCAATCAATTGAGATATCAATTGCTCGTCCCTCTGCGATATCATAGTGCATCAGCAGATGGTCAAATTCAACAGTATAATGGTCAACTGGCAGGTCTCGCTGCTTGAAATTGTTGTACTCAATAAATGCCTCCTGCCGGTAGCGAATAAGTAAGAATTTATGATGTAACAGTCTCTTCATCTAATTCCAACTCTTGATTTTCGACTTCCCTTCTTTGATTCGTTGCTTCTTAATATGTTCCCACCAAATTGAGGCATGCTTCTTCAGTTTGACCTTTTTGTCTTCTGTCAAGTCTTTGATGTCAAAGACCTTTTCGATGGTGCGTAACTAATCGATAAACTCATCTGGATGAGTGGTGCCCTCGAATTCCGGGATCTCAATCTTCACCCCAAAATTAGCAAAAAAGGATTAATCGCCAGGTTGACTTCGTCCTTGTCGCTCATGGTTCCAGAATGAGTTTCGCTCCTTTTCTCCACATGAGATGATCTTCATCTAACTTGTCCAACTGTGTTAGGGCAAACAGTTGTTCGAGCTCCTGAATTCGTCTATCTTGTTTTGTCATTGTAGCTACAATTGTAGCGTCTCGCGTGTCGATGTGTGTTTGTTCATCGTCACCACTAAAGGTGTTACAACGTCCTCTACCACCGCTGCCTCGACCTCGTTGTCCACAACCTCGACCTTGATTGCCATTGTTCTGTTCAGCCATTTATGTTACAACACGAGCTCTAATTACCAAATAATGCCGAAGCAGTATGTCATTGGCTTAACAGAAAGAAAGACTGGACACAAGGATTGCGAGAAAAAACTATTTCTCTTTTCTGAATTTTATTTAACCAAAAATAACCAAATAACAATAGGGTTCTCCAAGCCTTAAATAGGCAAAACAAAACAAAATGAAAATAAAATCAAAAGGAATCATGCTCAATCAAAGGAGATAACGCACAATCAACGCACACCCTAAAATAATCAAAGAAATAACAAAAAGGTAAATAACTAACAATTATTGTAAAGCCCTAAAGTATGGAAAGCCCAAAACTATTGATGCCCATGGCAAAGCGACGGACGAGTCTTGCTCAAAAGCCTATTTTGAGTTGCCTATCCAAATTTTGTCTCAATCTAAGTCGGCCAGCTTGGGTGTATCATATTGTACTTCAAACTATTTAACTTCTAAGAAAAAAATTGTTGTTCTTGTAAGCAGACACATCACATATGGCAGGCTGGGCTTGCGCATATGAATTTTTAACCCCCTTTTTAATAAATAAAATAGGAATTTTTTAGTGAGTTGAAGTGTATGCTGACAGGCAAACCCTGCTAAAACAGTTAAGTACTTTTAAACTAGCAAAGGTAAAAAAAGGGGGGGCAATCATTAGATCAATGTATCTCTCCAATACCTCTGAAATTTTTTTGAAGAGAACCCTGAGAAGAATTTTGGAGCTGAACCAAAAAATTTGGGAGAAAAATAAAATCTCAAGCCTTACACTTCAGGGGCCATGAGGTCTGCAGCCATGCAAAAATAATAGATTTCACTTGCTTATTTTCCCCAAATCTAAAAAATTGGTGTACAAAAATTCAAATTATGGACTAGAAGATAATAGAAAATACCAAACAGTCTATTCCAAAGCTGGCAAGCTGTTTTGCAGTATGAGAAAAGAGGATTGCTGGTCTCTGAAGTGTGCAGTATCATTACTGATTTTATGAATTTATTATAGAAGATTCATGAAGAGGTGGCTATGAAGTTCATAAGTAACTTTTTACTAGTGATTCTCTTTTAAGTATCTTAGGCATATTTAATTTGCAAACATGAGTAATAATACACTTGTTTCTTCGGGTTTGGGGTGGGCAGATTTTACTCTACTGGTAATTACCTTTAAGATATAGTTTATGATAATACTAAGTTATCAGAGGTGTATTGTAGATGGTTAGGATGTTAGATATACTGGCAGAGTATATGTCACTTCGAGGATTTCAATTTCAAAGGCTTGATGGCAGTACAAAAGCTGAGTTGCGACAGCAGGCAATGGATCATTTCAATGCACCAGGTAGTGATGATTTTTGCTTCCTTCTGTCAACAAGAGCAGGAGGTTTGGGTATCAACCTTGCCACAGCAGACACTGTTATAATATTTGATTCGGATTGGAATCCTCAAAATGACCTACAGGTATTAAATTAAATTATTTTATTTTATTCATTTTTATTGGGTACTTACTAATACTGCTGTTTATCTCTTAGGCAATGAGTAGAGCTCATCGAATTGGGCAACAAGAAGTTGTTAACATATATAGATTTGTGACTAGCAAAAGTGTTGAGGAAGATATTTTGGAACGGGCTAAGAAGAAGATGGTATGATTAGAACCATTGGATATCAAATGGTTGCATTAATTTTTTTTCTTTGACTTTAAATTTTGTATTATGTACTTTTCTTTTACTGTGTGTTTGGGTTAGCTTATCTTGGGGCTAAAAATGTTTTAATCAAAAGCTTCTTGAGAGAACTTTTGAAAGAAAAAGCAAATTTTCCCCTAAAATCAAGCTATTCCCAATCATGCACTTATTCATGGATTTATGTCTATATTTTATAATATATATTTGCCTGCTAGATACATGAAATTGCTTGTTGACATAACTTGAGGTTAATAAATGTACTTCATTTTTCATGAGCTATATAGGTTCTCGACCACTTGGTGATTCAAAAGTTAAATGCAGAGGGTAGATTGGAGAAGAAAGAAGCCAAAAAAGGAAGTTATTTTGACAAAGTAAGGACCTATATGAAAACTGCTTTTGATGCTCACTGGTTAACGTGCTATCATTGTACTATATGAAATCTTATAGAAAATACAAGAAATTAATCTACTGAGCTGGTATTGTCTTATATTTGCATTTAATGGATTGCATTGAATCATTTTAGGGTACTCAGTCTTTGTGTTTTCTTTTGATTTATTGTTCAATTACTGTATCAAACATTTGCTTCTCACATGACAGAATGAGCTGTCAGCAATCTTGAGATTTGGAGCCGAGGAGCTTTTTAAGGAAGAAAGAAATGACGAAGAAAGCAAGAAAAGACTCTTAGGCATGGACATAGATGAAATTCTTGAAAGAGCGGAGAAGGTTGAAGAGAAGGAAAATGAGGGAGAACAAGGGCATGAGTTATTAAGTGCCTTTAAGGCAAGTTACTTGGAAAGGAATTGTTTTTTCTCTTATATATATTTCTTTTAGTGTAATTATTGTTATGATTGCTTTATTTTAAGGCTGGGGATAGGATAGATTGGGATAGGAGTGGGAAATTGCTAAGTTTTTTCTCTCTTTCAATTTTCTTTTCTGTAGGTTGCTAATTTCTGTAATGATGAAGATGATGGAAGTTTCTGGAGTCGTTGGATCAAGCCTGACGCTGTTGCTCAAGCAGAGGTTTGATCTTGTTCTGTTTATTATGATATATTTTTAGTTGTTTTTTAAATGTTGCTTGTTGAGTTTGTAAGAATTATATGTGAGAAGTGTATGAAATGTTTGTTTTTGTACAAGCTATCTGTTTAAAACATTTATCTTTTAATCTTGCCTTATCTTCTATTTTCCTGTGTTTTAGGAAGCTCTTGCTCCACGTGCTGCAAAGAATATTAAAAGCTATGCAGAGGATAATCAATCTGAAAGAAGTAGTAAAAGAAAAAAGAAGGAAAGTGAACCACCTGAGCGAGTTCAGAAACGCCGGAAAGCAGATTATTCAGCTCCTGTAACACCAATGATTGATGGAGCATCTGCCCAAGTGAGAAGTTGGTCATACGGGAATTTGTCTAAAAGAGATGCACTCCGTTTTTCTCGTTCAGTAAGATTCTATTACTGTTGGGATTTTTCAGTGTTATCTGCCTATATGAATATCTATTACTTTTGGCACGCACTAATTTTTGGAGACCTTATAAGTATTCCTTTATATGTTGTGATGTATGTTGCTGATAAGCATCATTCCCAATCAGTTACATATATTTTTGTCTTGCCAGACCAGAAAAGTAGCTAACTAGGTGCTGCAGGATTAGCTTAAACTTTACAAGTTTGTGTTGTAAGGATGAAATTGGTGGTGGGGCATAGTTGAGCCAATGAGAACTGAAATATTGTAGAGCCAAGTTCTACCAAAGCTGTTAGGGTCAAGGCTCAATTTCAAGCTTAAGCTCAGATCAGCGAAGCTAGTGTGCTTACCACAGATTGAGGTGGCACTGAACTTCAAATCTGTTTCAGAGTATGTTTGGTTACTTTGAAATTATAGGGTTAGATAAGGAAAGAGGAAAAGATGATAGACTCAAATAATATGATTTAAGATTGATGTTTTAGTGTAATATAAAATATAAAGCTTCTACACGTATTTATACTGATAGAATTATAACATTAGGGTTACGGAAGGAAAAAGAGAAAAATGGCTGACAATATTATTTTTATTATATTGTTGAGAATATGATGTGAAGCAATACCCTAAATTAGTACTCCTGTTTATATTAGGAATTAGGTGAAGTACTACTGTTGCTAGTACAAGCCCAAGCCCACTAACAATAAGATTATAGCCTAATAACCCTAATATCTTAACACTTACCCTAAAATTAAAGGTAAGCTTTAGCTTTTTACAATTAGCAAACTCGCAAACATAAGACAAATAATGCAAACTCATTTCAGCCCAAGAACTTAAGCAACTAGTACCCTCCCCCAACCCCAAATAACAAGACCTTGGCATTGTCCTTGGTGGACAGTTCCTAGGAGTCTTCAACCTTCTTTTAGCTTCTCCTCAGGACAAATCTGAAATAAATACAAAGTTTTTGAAGTACTTGGCCTTTCTCCTCGGTGGCACCCTTGACCTCCAAGTTGGTCTTCAAACACTAGATCAGTTTTATACTGCTCAGTAATGCGGAAAAAAACCTTATTCTGGTGTCCAAAATCTTCAAATTACAACCCCATTAACAGAAGAACAGAGATTACTAAACTGGAACAGACTTCACCCCAAGCAACTCTCCCTAGGAGAAACAAACCATAACACGGACATTCCTTCAATGTAGAACTCAAAGTTGTAGCAACCTTAAGATAAATAAACAGCATCACCCAGCTAACCCAGAATTCGAGTCTCCCCCTTATCAAATTTGCAGCCATCACAGTAATAGAGTCTGAAACCTGGTAAAAAAAATCGGATATCAGTCCTGAAATAGGGATCGCTTCGAAAAGTTGCTCGGGATCAAGGATTGTTATAACAAACTCGTTAAGTTGCATATAATAATGTATGTGTACACATGCTCACAAGGTTTACTATGAATCAAATTCGTTCAAATGTTTTTTATGCATGTCTCCACCCATGCCCCTCCTTTTTGGTGAGTTGATTTTTGTGCCTGCCTGTGGGTCAAAGAAAATGGTTTTTAGATGGGTTTCATTAGCTACTTCCTTAAGTTAATGTACATCCTTTTTTTTCTTGCTAATGATGTCTTATCTTCTGAATTTGTGCTTGCTATGTGCATGTGTGGGTGTTTATGTTACATGCTTCATATTTGTTATTTTCTGTAGCTGTATGTATGTTGTATGCTCATCCCCAACCTAAATCACCAGGTAATGAAATTTGGGAATGAGAGCCAAATCAACTTAATTGCTGCTGAGGTTGGTGGTGCAGTAGGAGCGGCTCCACCTGATGCACAAATTGAACTCTTCAATGCTCTAATTGATGGCTGTACAGAAGCAGTGGATCTTGGAAGTTTGGATCCCAAGGTTTGTATGAAATTAAATTCTTTCTCTCAAAGCAAGCCTGGAATTGGTTATTTGTATATTCATTATTTGCTTAGATGCTCATTACATGTTATATTGCATCCAGGGGCCTTTGTTGGATTTCTTTGGTGTCCCAGTTAAGGCAAATGACTTGCTTACCCGTGTTCAAGAACTTCAACTCCTAGCAAAGCGCATTAGTCGGTATGAAGATCCCATTGCACAATTCCGTGTCTTAACATATCTCAAACCTTCAAACTGGTCAAAAGGTTGTGGGTGGAATCAAAGTATGTGCTACTCTATGTAGTTTGTATATTTAGTCAGTGGAGTTGGTTAATTGTTGCTTTTGCTGATTCTATTTACTTGTTAATAGTTGATGACTCAAGATTGCTTCTTGGAGTATATTATCATGGATTTGGTAATTGGGAAAAGATAAGATTGGATGAAAGGCTTGGCCTTACGAAGAAAATTGCACCAGCAGAACTTCAACACCATGAAACTTTTTTGCCACGAGCTCCAAATTTGAGAGACCGTGCTAATGTCCTGTTGGAGCAAGTATGCTATCACTTCAATCATATTCTTTTTTTTCTTCTGCATGTGCTACTTACATATCAGCAACAGGCATCTTTAATTCGAGCCCGCCTCTCTTAGTTGCTTTCAATTGAAAGAAATATTTGGATATATTTGAATTGTATAATAGCTGTACAAGAGTTCTCTATTTAAAGAGACTTAAAGGCTTAATGGGCTAAGCCCAAATACACTTATAGAAATATTTACAACACTCCCCCTCAAGTTGAGGAATGGATATTTATCATTCCCAGCTTGCTAGTAAGCTCTTGAAACCTATCATTAGGAAGACTCTTAGTCAAGACATCAGCCAATTGATGACCAAAAGGAATATATGGAGTAGTGATCAGTCCACTATCTAGTTTCTCTTTGTTGAAGTGGCGATCAATCTCAATATGTTTGGTTCGTTCGTGTTGGACTGGATTGTGGGCTATACATATAGCTGACTTGTTATCACATAGTAACTTCATAGATCCTTCATATCTCACCTTGAGATCATCGAGAATAATTTTCAGCCACAATAACTCATAGATACCTTGAGCCATGGCCCAAAATTCTGCTTCTGCACTAGATCTAGCAACCATATTTTGCTTTTTACTTCTTCATGTTATTAGATTTCCACAGAGAAACATACAATGGCCCGAAGTATACCGTCGGTTAGTCACAAATCTAGCATAATCAGCGTCTGTATAAACTTCTTAGGTTTCTTCCTCTCTATAACAATAGTCCTTTGCCTGGTGTGCCTTTCAGGTATTGGAGAATCTTGTCCACACTCGCAGGTGTTTCTCCCTCGGTTCATGCATGAATTGACTAACAATACTAACTGCATAAGCTAGATCAGGTCTAGTATGAGCTAGATATATCAATCTTCCCACTATTCGTTGATACTGTCCTTTGTCAATTGGAGGGCTCTCATTTTCACTTCCTAGTCTGTGATTCTGCTCAATCGGAGTACTGGAAGGTTTACACCCGAGTTTTCCTCCTCCTTTAAGGAGGTCAAGAACATATTTTCGTTGACAAATAAAAATGCCTTATTTTGAATGAGCAACTTCTATTCCAAGAAAATATCTCAGATTTTCAAGATCTTTAACTTCAAATTCATTAGTCAGTCTTTTTCCTAGAGCACATTTCTCACATATATCATCCCCTGTTATAATCATATCATCAACATAAACTAGAAGGATAATGGTCTTACCTTCCTGAGAATGTTTAAATATGATCTACTTGACTTTGCTTGTATCCCAATGAAAGCATAACTTTGGTAAATCTTCCAAACCAAGCACGCGGGAATTGTTTCTAGCCATACAACGTCTTCTTCAATCTGCAAATTTTATTTTATCCATTTGTAGAGTTAAATCCTAGTAGGATCTCCATGTAAGTCTCTTTTTCTAATTTTCCATTGAGGAAGACATTTTTCACATCAAATTGTTTCAAATCCCAATTAAAATGAGTAGCAATAGACAATAAAACTCTTACAGTGTTCATTTTTTGGCCACTGGAGCAAATATCTCTTCGTAATCAATAACATAAGTCTGTGTGTACACCTTGGCTACCAATCGAGCTTAATACCTCTCAAGAGTTCCATCAGAATTATACTTCGGAGTATACACCTATCTGCACCCTACTACCTTTTTTCCATTTGGCCTGTCAACAAATTCCCATGTTTTATTGTAACACCCCAAATTTCTAACAATTTTAACAATAAAATATTCCTATAATAGAGAAATTTTCAATAAAATAAGAATATTTAATTATTTATTAAGATCTTATATCTATTGCGGAAGCTAATCTAAAACTAATTTGGGGAAATGTTACCGCCGTACCTGTACAAGGACAAGTGCAAGGCTCTTTATTACATTCATAAATATTACAATAAAATCAGAGATATGTCTTATACATAAAATTTAGGATTAGCAAAAATCTGTGAGTAGTTATCCTCACTGCTCACTGCTGGCCCCATCCTTTAGAACCTGTTTCACTTAAAGTCTGCTCCCCCAGAAGGATCATTGCAGTCAAACAAACACAAAAGTCAGCAAAGCTGGTAATCCAAATCCGATATATAAAAATAAATAAATAAATAAATAAAACTCATAATAATCAAATCAAGTAATATAACTCAAAAATTCAAATCAAGTATCAACTCGTTATTAATTATATTAATCTTTATTTAGTCCATTTAGTGGGAAGAGAATCATGGCAGACCCGGGAAACCCTGTTGCCAGCCACGTATAATCAAAATATCAAATCCTAGTGTGCACACCTCTTCCCAAAGTTGCTACTAGTATCAGATACCACTTTGGGAAGAACGGAAACATCATTGCCACATCAAATAAATATCAAAGGCATAAAGCCCAAAAAGTTATGTTCATCACTTTGGGATGTATCATCCCAAAGCTATCATCCCACTATTAATTATTCACTATCACACATAATTCCAATTCAATCATAAATATCATAATTGGAAAATATCATGACATCAATTTAATCAAGAATATCATTTCAATTGTCCAAAATATCAAAATCTCCAATCATCATAACAATTATTCAATTATTTTAGGGTATAAAAATCATAATTTCCACAATCATTAAATAAGATTTATATCGCACACATATTGCACATAATCAATTTTCCATCATTTTATCAAAGGCAAAATCTGTTATCAAAGCATTAAGATTATTCTCAAAATAATTAATTCTATTATCTTTTAGGAGTTAAAACCCAATAAAATTGCATACACAACAAATCTACAACCACCTAGGGATTAGGATTACCTGGTCTCCGTGTTTGCTACCTTCTAGAATTTGGGGAAGAGAAGCGGTTGTGACCAAATTAAAATAAATAAATAAAATTTTGAGGTAAGAAGAGAGTAGCAAAGGAGAAGAGGAGAAATACTGAGGATTGAAAGTGAATTGGTTTGGTTAGGCTAGGCCTCTATTTATAATTGAAGTTTTGGGCTCGGATATGGATTTCGTGCAATTATTCTTATTCTTCATTGATGTATCTGGCTCAGATATTGGCTTCATACACTTTTTCCTTTTTATTCTTAATTTCTTATGACTCAGAATATTGCTGACTCATCATATCTAATCAAATAAATATTGCTAAGTCATCCTAATTCAATTACATTACTAATCAATCAATCAAACATTAATGGACAAATGATCAATCAATTAATAATTCAAACAATCACAATTTATCACATATTATTATTATTACTACTAATTTATAATTTATTACTATTATTAATTTATTAATATTATTTTCCTGGGATATTACAATTATTCTTCTCCAACGCATTCATCTCGTCATGCATGGCTTGAACCCAATGATCATCTTTTAATGCTTCATGTATTGATTTCGGGATTGAAATGGAGTCAAGTCCTTCAATAAAACTTATATGCTGCATAAAGAGATTCTTAGAGGAGACAAAATGAGAAATAGGGTGTTGTTGGGTACAAGGATTTTTTCCATTCCTTATAGCAATGAGTAAGTCATCAGAATTAATATCAGGCTCAGGAATAAAAGAAGTAGTGCGTTCAGTACTTACTAGCGGTTCAGGCGATTACAGTTCTTGGTGGAGCAGTGTGGGTTGTTTTTTCCTTTGACATATTAGTTCGGGTGTCCCAGCTTTGAGTACTCTCTGTCGATCAATAGGAGGCATGTTAGATGAGGAATCAGATGGATTTTCAGTCTCAGCAACAAAGTCTTCCTTCTCAACTTGGGTAAGAGATGTTGGTAACAGAAAGGGAGACTCGGACTCAAAGAAAATTGATGAAGCTTCTATACCATTCTCCCCCTGTAGCTGAGGGTTTTGAAAGTAGGACTCAGACTCATGAAAGCTAACATCCATAGAGATAAAGAATTTACGACTTGAAAGGTGGTAACATTTGTATCCTTTCTTGTTGGGAGCATAACTAAGGAAGACACACTTAAGAGCTCTAGGCTCTAATTTACTCCAATTTTGTTTATGGACATGGACGAAGGCAACATAGCCAAAGACACGAGACTGGAGACTCTGCATAATTGGAACATAAGGGAAAAAAGAGGTCATGAGATCAACAAGACTTACATGGCCAAGAACTCTAGAAGGTAAGCGGTTGATCAAATAGGCTGCAGTTAATACACTTCTCCCCAGTTAGAGTTAGGTACAGATGTCTGAAACAACAATGCTCTGGTAACTTCAAGCAAATGGTGATATTTTTCTTTCAGCAACCCCATTTTGTTGAGGGGTATCCACACTTGTGAGTTCATGAACCATTCCTTTGTCTTTAATAAATTGGGATGATTAACATATTCTGTACCATTATTTGACCTCAAACGTTTGATACTTCTACCAAACTGGGCTTCAATCATATAATAAAATTGGATAAACAACTGTGTTACTTCTGCCTTATCTTTTATCAAGAAGATCCATGTTATTCGAATATAATCATCAACAAAAGAGAGAAACCACATAGCACCAGAAACATTAGGGACCTTTGAAGGCCCCCCAAACATTAGAATGAATAATGGTAAAAAGTGCAACACTTTTTATTTCAGTAGAAGGAAAGGATACACGATGATGTTTTGCAAACTGACAATCATCATAATTAAAAGACTCAACAGACTGCGACCCAAATAAAGACGGAAACATAGACTTAAGTAAACTAAAAGGAGGATGACCCAAGCGCTTGTGATGAAGCCAAATAAGAGAATCTGAAGTAGACTGACGAGTTATCAAAGTCTGATCCCTGATACCTTCTGTAGCAAAGTCTGGAACCAGATAATACAACCCACCCTACTTCTTAGCAACTCCATTCGTCTTCCCCGTGGTGAGATCTTGAAAAACACAATGAGTAGGGGAAAAGGTTACAGGAGCTGGAGTAGTGGCTTTAGATGCGAGCATGATATATCCTTCGGACAACTTGGTATACATTATGACAGCCCTGTGTGAAATACTTCAGAAAGAGAAGGTAATTTTTCCTTACCAAAAATTTGAACCCGAATAGGGGTCATATTCTGAGTTGAGGTCACAAAGAAAGTCAAAAATCCGATTTCTTTCAATCGAGGTGGCCAGAGTGGTTGCATCCTTGCTACACTCTATCTTCAAACTCTTGTACTGATCAAGCTCAGTCCACAATGCATTCATAATGCCATAATACTCTGTTACAGAGAAAGAGCCCTGCTTGGTAGAAAAAATCCTATTCCGCAGATCATTACAGGTGGAGCATCTTGTTTCATTGAATAGGGCTTCCTAAGAACATCCCAGATCTCAAGAGCAGTAGGTAAGAATATGCAATGTTGACTAACTTCAGGATTCATAGAGTTCCATAGCCATGTCATAATAAGAGAATCTTCAACATTTCCAATCAGCAAATTTTGGATCTGTTTTGGCATGAACAGGTCCTTCAAGATGAGTAATTTTACGACGTCCTTTGAGGATGGTACGAACAAGCTAGGACCATTGTAAATAAATTTTTCCAGTAAGACGATAATTCTGATGAAGAGCAGGAAGATCATTTGGAGAAAGAATAGCCATCGGGCTTGTATCAAATGGTTGACTGGTTGGAGTGTTTTCAACATCCGACATATATCTGGCTAAAAAACAAAAAGATCAAAACAGTGAAAAAACTCCGCTGGAACAGTACCAAAACACTAAGTGAAGACCGTGACCAAGTCGAAATGAAAAAATAATCACAGATCCAGTAGCACTCATGTCTGTGGCTGGCCGGAGTCCAAAAAGTTACAGGAACAGTGCTGAACGGTGCTGAATAGGTGCACTTCACTGTATTTGGGACTGTTTGGGTCGTTGATTAATCGGAAAAAATGCGTAGAAGGATAGATCAGAGAAATAAAAATCCATCAAGGTTCTTTTCGGTCCAAAAGGTCTCCGAAAAATTTTCCAGCGGCGGCTGGTGGCAGTGAGAAGCAAACAGAAAAAAGGTTTCCACTCTAACGACGGCAATTGTGAAAGCAGAGCCCTCAGAATCAAGAGCTTTAATACCAAATTGAAAGAAATATTTGTATATATTTGAATTGTATAATAGCTGTATAAAAGTTGTTTATTTAAAGAGACTTAAAAGACCTAATGAGCTAAGTCCAAATACACTTCTAGAGTATTCTAGCTAATACAAATACTAAATAAATAATTCTAATATTTACAACACTTTCTTTCCTATTAGACTTCGTATTTACTTTTTATGATTTATTTTGGTACTTGACAATTCCCGCGTCTATACGGTTATATACATTTGTCACTTTCTTGATTTGTGAACATTGTTAAGTTTCACTCTTAAAAGGATTTTGTCACATTTTGTGTACACGATTGATGATTCAAAGCAGCTCCATTTTTTTATCTTTGATCGTGATGTTATCTTCTTTGGGGGAAAGGCTTCTATTACATAAGAATATCTCTTGCATTGTCATTTTTCTGCAACATGGTTTTGCTTGACCAGCTAATCAGAGTATTGACAGTGACTCGAGGTTTTATCATTTTTTTTTGGTTTTATATTTCTACCATGAAAGCTGTTGTTTTTAGACTCTAATTTTATGCGATTCCTGAAATCAAAGATACTAGAATGTGTAATTTGGGTTAAAGATTTGAAGTAACTCCTAACAACCATCATACCGGTGTCTCTTTCTTGCATGAGCTTTCAAAGATCTTCTTCCCCATTTCCCTGGTTTATTGCATCTCCAAATGGAGGCCTACTCTCTCTCTCTTTCTATATATATATATATATATATATATATATATATATATATTGTTGATTGGTAATTATACTTTGTTTCAATCAATTGTTATTACTTGTCACTTAGGTTGGTGTCTTCATTTTTCTTATTGGCCATGGATAGCTAGAGCTAATGCCTTGAGTAAATCATTTAGGAACTTGCTGCTCATGGTGTGAAAAATGCCTATAGCAAAGTTGGAAGGAAGCCTTCCAAGAAAGAGAGAGAACATCTTGTGAACGTCTCATTGTCACGTGGGCAGGAGAAAAAGATAAAATTGGGTTCTTCTAAAGTTAATGTCCAAATGAGAAAGGACAGGCTTCAGAAACCTCTAAAAGTTGAACCTATTCCAAAAGAGGAGGGTGAAATGTCTGACGATGAGGAAGTTTATGAGCAGTTCAAGGAAGTAAAATGGATGGAATGGTGTCAAGATGTGATGGTTGAAGAAATGAAAACCTTGAAACGTCTTCACAGGTTGCAGACAACCAGCGCCAATCTTCCGAAGGAAAAGGTACACCTGTAGTCGAGGCTCCTATCCATTTATTATGTCTTTTTCCTTTGCTAAACACTATTTACTTGTTTTTCCTCCTATACTTTAGGTGCTTTCAAAAATCCGCAACTACTTGCAGCTTCTTGGGCGAAGGATAGATCAAATTGTGTTAGAACATGAAGAGGAACCCTATAAGCAGAATAGTATGTGCTTAATCCCATTCTGCATATTTTCTGTTTGAGTAAACTCATTTTCTTGGAAAATAGTCTGCTTTGTGCATGTCTGGGTCCTTTTATTTTTTTGTCACTCTTGGTTTTCTATTTACTAGAGGACTGGTTTTGTCTGTGTATTTAGGATTTGAATAGTTGATTTTTTTTTCTTGTTAATTTTCAGGAATGACTATGCGATTGTGGAAGTATGTTTCCACCTTTTCCCATCTTTCAGGGGAGAGGCTTCATCAAATTTATTCAAAACTTAAACTGGAGCAAAATGCAGCAGGGGTTGGCCCCCCTCTTGCCAATGGGTCAGTATCTGGTCCATTTAGCAGGAATGGAAATCCTAACCATTCTTATCCATTCCCTCGACATATGGAGAGGCAAAGAGGATACAAGAATTTGACTACCCACCAAATGCCGGAATCAAGTAATAATACAGGCATGTCTGAGGCATGGAAACGAAGAAGAAGAGCTGAAAATGATGATTATTTCCAGGGTCAGCCACCACCTCAAAGAACCATGGGTAATGGAATTCAGAGTATGGATCCTAACTCGCTGGGGATCCTTGGGGCTGGACCATCTGATAGACGTTTTGTTAGTGAGAAACCTTTCAAGACTCGAGCTGGTGGGTTTCCTTCAAGACAAGGATTCTCTTCAGGAATTGAGTAGTCAGTTATGTGGGTTCAGAATGGCTGATTCCTGGAGTGTTGGCTGTTGGCTTTCACTCTGCAATTACTCAGCTTCAGCTATTGTATATTCTCTGGAATTTTTTTTCCACCCATGGGAATAAGATATTGCTGTTCCCATTTTGGTCTATTGTGGCGATCTGAGAAATATCCCTAGAAATGGTATTTGCATCCTTGAACAAGGTGGCTGAAGCCGATGATGATCCGGAATGTGCAAGATGAATGTAGTCTTGCCCATTTGTTCCTTTTTCCTTTTTGATTTTTACCCTAACTTGAAGATGAGCCAAGCAAAGCGTTACATATATAGTGAAAATCTTGCAAAGAAACACATTTTACTTGCTATAGAGATACTTAGGAAACTGTACATTATCAGTTTTGTCATTTCATTGGACTTAATTTTCGCCCCATGCAAATTATGTTAGCTGATGCACACAGGAATGTATTTGTTTTGTAAATTTGGCTATAATCCCTCAAAATTTTGCGTAGCTTGTTCAAGCAAATTCTATTAGTGAAGGAAAATCAATTATTGGCTTCTTGCTCAAAGTTTGTTTCCAGCATGATTTACTCATTTACGGTAATGCACTGGATGTGTGTATCCCGGATGAATAATTGCAACATTGGTCCAACATCTTTAATATTTTTGGATATCTAAATAATTGCTCTCTTATATATATATATATATATATATGGGGTAGGATATTTTTATACCGGTGTAAGAGTTAGAAGTTTTACACTCAATCATGACCATTGATCCACTTGTATCCAATGGTTCACATTATTAAAAATTTTGAACCCTTAGATATAAGTGAGATCAAAGGACAAGATTGAGAGTGTAACTTACACTGGTGTAAAATGATCATGACCCTATATATATATATATATATATATATATATATATATATATATATATATATATATTATTCTGTCACTGTAAATCAGATTCGTTTCGTTCCTCGGATTTTGTTTTATACTATTGATACAACCATTAATAATGAAATTAAAAGTGATTCTGATATTTCAGCTTTTGTCTTGTGTTTGGGGTGGTTTATGACGTAGTAACTAACTAGGGAATTTTGGGTTTCTGTTGAGAAAGTTATGCACTTAACATTAGTGGATTGAATACATGCAAGTGTTGTATAACTTTACATTTCACGAGGTTGTTTTCCTAACCTGAACTCGGATGCTTGCATCTGAATCCAATCTTGAGGATATCGTCCCATTCCTACAGAATTGCAGCAAAAATGGTTCAGCTTCTATATGCGAAGAGGTATTGGAACTATGGGGGCATTTATTAATTTATTCTGCCCTCTCATATATAATTATCCTCCCATTTCCATTTCACTTAGGCTGAAAATGGAAGTGTTGGTTTTATCTGATCAGTTGGAATTTTTTTTTTTTTTTTTCTGAATTCATTATCATTTACTAATGTGGCTTGGGCATAAATAGTAGTTGAGGGAGTCGGTTGTGATTTAATTAGAAAGTCAGATTTGGTATAATTAAATATCATTTGCTAGAAATTTCCGTTCCAAGATGTTGGTCATGATTCCCTTATGTTGGTCAATAAGATGAGAGGGTAATGTTATAGAACACAAAAACCATAAAATCAAAATAATTAGACCTACATAAATAATGTGTTTGAAACCCTAAGGCAGCTCAATTGTCAACTGAGCTCTCAAGAATTTGTTTGGGTTAGGGATTTAAACTCTGCTTCAAATAGATTCTTGAAAAATCTTTGGGGGTTAAATGACGTGCTTCTTTCCTCAAATAGGAGATTAGTCTCATCTTTCTTTTAGTGGTGAAACTTAATGCATCCGTTGTTTTAATGGGATAGTCTCTGGGGTTGTATTCCGAGGACAAGGTGATTGGAGGAGGTTGAATGATGATACCTCTAAATAATAATAATAATAATAATAATAATAATAATGTGTTTGAATGTGTAAGAAAATAACGTGTCATGATTCTCTTGGTTTATTCAATGAGATGAGAGGGTCATGTTATAAACCACTTCCAATTAAATCCTAATTAGGGATGACAGTAATGATGGCAATTGTTGTACGTAATTTTACTCTTACTTATTTGCAAAGGGGTTTTTTCCGAATTCAAACATGTGATTTTTCAGTCACAAAATACAGGCATGAAAAGGTCATGTTATAAAAGAAAAAAAGACAAAACAAAATAATTAGACCCTATTATTGTTGTCAAAAACTAGTGTAAAAATGCAAGTAAACACAGCTTTTAGTGAAAACGGATAAAAACAATAGTGTAAAAATGGTTGAAACGCAAGTTTTTACTTTTTTACTTAAACTCAATATTTTTCTATTTTTTATTTTAAAAGAAAACCCTATTTATCATTTTCCCCATATCAAAATATGCAACAACTTCGATTATCTTCTTTTAACTATCTAACTCAAATCAAACTCTGAAGTAATCTCGCATCCATATCGTAGCTCTTGGTGCCACCTGTCTCCTTCCCCCTACGACGTTAGTGATGGGCCACCAAATCCCTCTAATCTGCAACAACAATAATGGTAAGTGTGTCTCTGATATTTTGCTCATTTTTTTGTTTTGGAATTCGGTTGTAGTTGTTAAATTTTTTGTTTTTTGTTTTTGGACTTATGTTTTATATAGTCATATGTTTTATAAGTATTTTAAAAAATACGAAATTGTTCATTGAATTTTGAGTAATGATTTATGTGAATTTTGTTTTTCACACACACACTGTAACATCCCGGGGGCTGACGAGGGCGGGGAGTGATCGCCGGTGCGAAAGAGCATGAATAAGGAGCGGCTCCTGGCAGGCTTCCAGCAACGGGGGTACATGAATGAATCAAATCAACACCCGAAAGAGAGGGATTCCAGAGACTGTGCTGGTATGGGATGGTACAGTTGGGAATAGCTTACAAGAATTAATTGGTACTACTTATACTAACAAGATGCATCTACTTTTCAGTAGCCCGGAATGGAAGAACTCCATAGTTAAACGTGCTTGACTTGGGGCAATTCTGGGATAGGTGACCTCCTGGGAAGTTTTCCCGGGAAGTGTCCTAGAGAGGACAAAACACGTTGAAAAGTCTCATGTTAGTCTGTGGGGATAATCGTTGATCCTTGCAAGTTGCCAGGCGTTACACACACACACATGCGTGTGTGTGTGTGTGTGTATATATATATATATATAATTTTGTATCTTTGCCTAAGTAGTAGATATATAATTTTGTATCTTTGCCTAAGTAGTAGAAATTTTACGTTTCATGTTGTTTCTACTATTTACATTTCTAGTACCCCTTCTTCCGTTTCTATGTAGAAACTCAATTTTTTGGGCCCTACATAAATAATGTGTTTAATCATTATTCAATCAATATCAATGAAATATGCAATTTCCCTTGAAATAGTCTATCACTTTCCTATCCTCTGTGCTCCATTGCAATGCAATAAAATCAATGAGTTCTTTTACTCGTTTGACTTGCTACGTAATCAGGAAATGAATATATAAATTGGATCTGGATGATCGGTAATTTACATATTTTTGCCATATTTTCTGTTAGTTTCAATTGAAATTCAAGAATTGATGATTGTAACTAACGGTATCATACCTTCCCGGTTAGTGTTAGAAGATGAAAAATTGTCACGCTAAGTGCGAGAAAATTTAAACACTTCTAGATGATCATATGTAAATCATCTTGTGTCAAATTAAATATTCAAGTGGCTTAAAAATAAAGATATTTATATACTAGATGGTTTCTAAGAGTGTATATATATATATATATATATAGACATGATATTCTTATACCAGTGTAAGAATTAGAAGTCTTACACCAAATCTGAATCATTGATTTACTTGAATCTAATGGTTCAAATATCTAATAAATTAGAACCATTAGATAGAAATAAGATCAACGATCAAGATTAAGAGTGTAACTTAAACTGGTGTAAAATGATTGTGACCCATATATATATATATATATATATAGAGTAAGGATATTCTAACTACCAAAAATTCTTATTACTAACTTACTACCCATCACACCACCATTGGATCAATCAGAGAGAATGTTAAAAAAAATTTGAAGAGAGAGAAAATGTTAATCTAATGGTAATTAGATAGGTAGTGAGTTGGTAGTGGAAAATTTTGGTAGTGAGAATATCCCTCCTTATATATATATATATATATATATATATATATATATATATATATTACAAATTTTTTTGTTTACAAACTACAGTAAGTACGACCAGTCATACTTTAATCATGCAGTGTACGACCGGTCATACTTAGTGTAATTTTCAAAAAAAGTTTGTAAACAGATTCTATCCCTATATATATATATATATATATATATATATATATATATATATATATATGCGAAAAGTATTTCTTCAGCCACTTTAGATAAGGTTGTCTACAGCTACCCTTTTTTACTAAGTACGACCGGTCGTACTCAGTAATAACAATAAAGCTGTTCTTTTTTTCTCTTTCCTCAGATATTGTTGACTGACGTGGCGGAGAGAGATTATGCAATTTTAATGTACGACCGGTCGTACTTAGTGAAAAAAGTGTAGTTGTAAAGAAGCTTATTTAAAGTGGCTGCAGAAATATTTATATATATATATATATATATATATATATATATATATATATATATATATATATATATATATATATATATATATATATATATATATATATATTCCATGCTAGTCACCTACAATATATATTAAATTGTTGAACTAGCGCTTTGAGAAAGAGAAAAAGTGAGGGGGTTGGCGAGGAAAGGTAGAAAATGAACATAACAATGAAACGAAAGAAACAAAAGATGAAGAATACACGAGAAACAATCTTCACTGCAAGCAGCCACAAAACTTAGGGAATAAAGCCAAACTTTGAAAAGGAATTCACATAAGCACAAAAAAGATTGCAGTGTGGCTTCATTTCCCACAAGTGAAGTGTGGTTCACATTCTATTATCTCTTTATCTTTCATATTGCTTTCTCAGCCTCAAACTTTCAAATATTGTATGGCAGTAAAATATTCTCTTATACTTATTTCCAGGCTTAATCAAATCAAATTTAAATGTTCACATTTTTTTTTAATAAATCACATGTATTTTTTATGGGACAATCCTGTTTGATGTAGGTTCAAAATTAAGACTTTAAATCCTTTCAAAGATAATGCTGGGAAGGATTGAACATATGTTCTCAGCTTTACTTGCTCAGCTCCCATTGAACTACCATCATTTGATTTAAATATTCGACATGAGTCTGGATTAAGACATTAAATATTCACATTTAGTAATTAATTTTCACTTTTTATTTTATTTTAAGTCTTTTAAAAACTTGTGAGGTAAATAATAACTCGTAAAGTTGATTTGAGTTAGAAGTGTATTTTTATCCGTGTTAATATTGTAGATAGAGATTGAGGTAGTTTTATTTATTGAAAATTGAATTCAGAATCTCATTCTCTAAAATTAGAAAATACATTCAATGCTTTTGAAGACTTAATACATCACTAGGTAAAGTTGAAATAAAATAATCAATTTGAGTATACTTATTATATCCATTCCTTTATAGTTAATACCACTAGTGTCCCATTTTTTCTTACTTTTAGTAAAGGATATATATTTCCATAGTAGTGAAAATATGCTCCTCAACCTCAAGTTAAAATATTATATTGACATAGTATTTACCAATAATATATTATACCCAAAATGACAATGATAAAAATTATACTCTATTTAAAAAATAATTAGATGGAAATGAAGGAGCAAAAAAATTTGTACAATGGATAAATTTTTAGAGATGAAGCTTAAAACATGTGTTGATATGATGGCAGAGCAAATCCAAGCCAGAACTGAATGTTCCCTCTTCATCCATTCTTAGCCGCAAGGTGGCCAATTTCTCCTTCTTATCTGCAACTTGTGACATGTCTTGGCCCCATCGTAGTATTTGATTGGTTATCCAGCGCTCTTGATTATAAAAAAAAAAAAAAAAATGCATTTTTTTTTTACATTTTATAATTTCATATAATAAGGTTCTGTAAAGAGCATAAGGCACTGAAATAGCTCTTCCTTCCTTCTGCTGTATTACACCAAAGTTTCTAAAGATTCTTCTTTCCAAGTAAACCCACTTATTCTCCTTTTATGCTTCATGTATATCATATCATATCATATTTGCTCTCTCTTGCATGTGTATTATATTTGAGTGTTCTAAGTTTGGTTCTTTTAATTGAATTTTGTTAAGAATACTAATGCTTTGTGTTATTCCCTTTGCTATAAAATTGGCTTTGGAAGTAGGAAAATCAAGTTGAGTCTTCAGCTACCAATGTCACAAAATCATTCTCTGTAATCTCCCCTTTTGACCATGCTAGTGAATCAAAATTCTATCCTTGTAATATCACAATATTAATGTTCTAATATACCTTGTTACAATATGTTTTTATTTAATGTTCTGCAATCAGTTCTAATTATAGTGTTTCTCGTTTAAGTTCAATTTTTCTTATTGCTAGCATGAAAGGATTTGCAAAGGCTAGACACACACTAAGCATATCTTGAATAATAACTTTAAAAGCAGAACAAAGCTCTTGAAGGCAAAAGGTTCATTAGTTTTAATTACTTTTTCCTTTTATGTTATTGTTAAGGCCATCAACACTGTTATTATTTAATATTGTACCAAAAATACTGGTTATTATTTAATGATACATTCAGAAAGTTGTTATGACTGACTTTATAATTGATTTTATATAGGTAATTCTTTTGGTGGAAAAATCCAAGAACTGCTTGAATTCAAAGAGGTTGAAAATTCAAAGCAGGAGAAGATGGATTATGTTTATGGACCAGGAAGAAACCATCTCTTTGTTCCAGGGCCGGTGAACATCCCTGAACCGGTCATTCGGGCAATGAACCGGAACAATGAGGATTACCGTTCTCCAGCAATTCCAGCTTTGACAAAAACTCTGCTTGAGGATGTCAAGAAAATTTTCAAGACTACTACTGGAACCCCATTTCTTTTCCCTACAACTGGTATTGTATACGTGGATAAGCCAGAGTGTTAATTGTGTTATGTGTATAGTTCTAGTTTCATAAAAACAATTAGACTGTGTTACCTTTTTTACATTGATGACTTAGATGCATCAACTAAATGCTTAATCAATTCTGTTAGAGAACTAAAAAAAATAAAAAAATTTATTGTAACCTCATTTATTTGATTAATAAAAATAATTAAATGTCATGGAGTTTCTTTGTACAAGTAAATTGGACCTGATGTATTATCCATTCTTCAAGATTAACGGGTTCTCGTGTGAGGAGACATGTTAGAGAAATATAATTTTTTTTTAATGTAATCTCACCTAACAAGTTAAACTTTTGGATTGAATTAATACTTTACAAATTCTTTTAAGAGTTCGCTTTTTCTGCAGTTAATGCAGATAAGTTATCTGCAGTAAGTCCAATACAACATAGTTTTGGGACGAAAATCATGATATTTTTATAATTTTAATTTATTTCAGGATTGTTATAGTCTTTATAATTATAATTTTCTAATCTTTCAATCCCAAAACAACGTCGTTTTGGAAGTAAATGCAGATAACTTATCTACATTAACTGTAGAAATATTTTTATGTTCTTTTAATCGTTCATTTTACTCCTTAGATTATGTCAAAAGATATAATAAAACTATTCATATGGTTTCACAGAGCTTTTGGGAGTCTTTAAATCAAGTGGTCTAGATTTCGATTCTTGCTGTCCCATTATTTTATTAAAAAAAAAAATTGACATTTTGCATTATCTATACTTCAAAGCCCAAAGAATTCTTGTACGAAGGATATGTTAAGAGATAATTAAACCATTCGTATATCTTCACCCAACGGTTTAAAGGTTTTGGGAAAGTTGGTAGTGTAACAGATGATATACATTTTTGGGACCATGTTTGAAGATTGAAAGTTTTTGACTAATGAAACTAGACTGCAGAATTGTTATGTGACATTCTAGAACAGTGGTTGTATTCAATGCTTTTTATATCGAAGTTCTTTTGTGTGTGTGTGTGTGTGTGTTTTGGAGGTTACAAGCATAGAGACTACGGTTGGTACTATAAGAACAAAAAATTTGATTTTCCTTTAGTTATTTATAGATATCATGTTATCAAATAATGCTTTTGCATTTGATTCAGGTACTGGTGCTTGGGAGAGTGCTCTGACAAACACATTGTCTCCTGGGGATCGGATTGTATCATTTCTGATTGGCCAATTCAGCTTGCTTTGGATTGATCAGCAGCAACGCCTTAACTTTAATGTTGATGTTGTAGAAAGTGAATGGGGTCAGGGTGCCAATCTTGAGATTTTGGAATCAAAACTTGCTTCAGATACTGCACGCACTATAAAGGCAATTTGTATTGTTCACAATGAGACAGCAACTGGGGTCACCAATAACTTGGCCAAAGTGAGACAAATTCTTGGTGAGCATTGTCATCTAATGGTCTTAAAATGATAGCTTTTACTGATGGAGCCTACACATTTGAATCCTTTATTCTCTATAAACTGCCAGAGCCACAATATGTAATTTGCTTCTGTGTTCCAAGTTATCATTGTTCACAAGTGCTCATAGTTTCATTACTCAATGAAGATTTCTTATAAAGAAATCTTTTTGAACACATTTTATGATCAGTTGCAGCCTTAGCTGTTTCTTCCTTTAATATCCTTTAGTTTTAGAAGTATTACTTAGGTGGTAAATATGTTTTACAGACGTTGATACCATGCCTGTTTGCATATCTTTCTTGTTACAACATCTTACCTTTGCATGTTAATGTCTTGATATTTGTTCATATGCTATTTGAAGATAGTGTCTTAATATGGTTGATTGACCATCTTGTCCCTACTTTAAATTATTTTGCCACTTTACTCCTCTTGGTAGACTTTATATCAATTGCCCTCTTATACGAACAACGTAAAACCAAACTCAAGTCCTTGGTAAGTCACTCACTCGAGTAAATGTCGGTCAAATTTTAATCTAATAGTGACAGATTAATATATAATTTGGGAAGAGGGGGAAAGTGATAAAATAAATTTAAAATAAGGGCAAAATGATCAATCAGTCATCTTAATATATATTAGGATCATTTTACACCTTTATAAGTTACACTTTTGACGGGCAGTGGTAAAAGCTGCTCCTTTGTAAGTGAAGGGCACATGTTCAAATCCAGAAAACTGTCTTTTTGCAAATATGCAAGGATAAAACTGCATATAAAGGATTGCTCTCACCCTCACCCTCACCCTTTCTAGTCGGGGTTTAATGGAAAGTGAATTTATAAGTTATACTCTCAATCCTAGTCGTTGATCTTATTTATATCTTAAGGCTCTCATTTAATAGATATATGAGTAATTAAATGCAAGTAAATCAATGCTCAAGATTGTGTGTAAGACATTTTACTTTTATACTAGTGTAAGAATAACCTGACCCTATATGTATAGGAAAAAATATTTCTCTTGTCACGGGAGATAAAATTATCTCCTGTAACCCCAAAATTACGTCGTTTTGAGGGTTAAGGGAATTAATGAAGGGATTTTTGATAACTTTGTTTTTTTTCTTTATATGAATTTTATCAAAACACCCTTCATGCTCAACATAGTTTTGAGGTTACAGGATAACTTTATCTCCTATAACAGGAGAAATGATAAACCTATATATATATATATATATATATATATATATATATATATATATATATATATTGACAAACTCTTCAGCACCATTTCCATTGAATAATGCTGATTTATCTGCTAAGGCTCCTTTTAGAGGTAGTAATATTAAGTGGGATATCTGAAGCATGGTTAGAATAGAATCATTGAAGTTAATGCATGTGAACTTCCCAATTCGCTGTGTAGTAAGAGTTACAGATATGCTATTGCATGGATCATTAGCATTTAACTTGACTCTCATGACCTAAGTATGCATCTGAAACTTGGGCAGAATTTTCACATGCTATTCACATGCAACATTATTATTGGACTCAAGTGCTATATCTTAGGTCCCAGAACATATTTTCACTTGACAATAATTATCTATATTCGTAGATTGACATAAGTTTTGATGAAAATGTGTGCCTTTTCATAGTCTGCAAATGTATCGAATCATTTGCAGTCATCAGCCTTTGGATTTTTAATGTTCTTGTCCATTCTTTTATTTATTATTATTGTTTTGTCTTTGAATGTCTACATGAAATGGATTCTCACATTGTATTTTGGACACTCAGATTCATACCAGCATCCAGCTCTCCTTCTTGTTGATGGAGTGTCTTCAATTTGTGCTCTTGATTTCCGTATGGATGAATGGGGAATAGATGTGGCCATAACTGGCTCTCAGAAAGCTCTTTCCCTTCCCACTGGGATAGGTCTTGTTTGTGCTAGCCCTAAAGCTCTTGAGGCTTCAAAAACTGCAAGATCACTTAGAGTTTTCTTTGACTGGAATGACTACCTCAAATTCTACAAGTTGGGAACCTATTGGCCATACACTCCTTCCATTCAGTTGCTGTATGGTCTCAGAGCAGCTCTTGATCTGATTTTTGAGGAAGGACTTGACAATGTGATTGCAAGGCACAGTCGATTAGGCAAAGCAACTAGGTAAGGCTTAATTTGCTTGTTTAAAATCATTGTTAAGGACTTCAACCACCACTCCCAATTAAACCCCGACTAGCGAGGATGGGGTGAGGACGATTCTTATATGCAATTTTACCTTTGCATACTTGCAAAATGACTATTTTTCTGGATTTGAACTCGTGATCTTTCATTTACAAACGAACAGTTTTACCACTGCTCCAGGGTCGCCCATTTGTTAAGGACTTCAACAAGTAAAATAAAAAATGATCATTTTTGACAAGTGATCAAAGGTTTCTGAAAGTTGAAAACAGTTTTAACTTTTGGTTATATCTTTGAGATAATGAATCTGATGGGTCCTGAATATGGTAAATGCAGACTTGCTGTAGAGGCTTGGGGTTTGAAGAATTGCACCCAAAAGGAAGAGTGGCACAGTGACACAGTGACTGCTGTTCTTGTTCCACCTTACATTGATAGTTCTGAAATAGTTAGAAGGGGATGGAAGAGATACAATTTGAGCTTAGGCCTGGGACTAAACAAAATTGCTGGGAAGGTTTTCAGAATTGGACATCTTGGCAACTTGAATGAGGTAATGTTAAATTTCCCAAATTCCCATCAGCATATTAATGGAAATTCCTGAGACACACATTGTTTTGGCTTACATCTGTTCACTTAGAGCACAAGTTGCATTATATATAATCAAATGAAATTTAAAGTTTTATTGGATAATCTGACTTACTAAACCTATGCTAAAGAAAATGATTATATTAGATAGGAAAAAAATTAATTATTCTTAATTCGTATATTAAGTGTTGTATACAAGGATTGTCTTCATCCCTTTCATCTCTACCCTTATTAGTCGGGATTCAATGGGGAGTGATTTTTTTGTATCTTAATGGAACATGTTAAAAAAATCCTAAGTTTGTTCTTTATTGTTTTTGGTTGTTGTATATTAACCTTTAAAATTCTACCCATCTTGGTTTATTTTAGTCTATGTTCCACTTCAATCTTGCAAGTTTTAATAGTATGATAAGACTAGCTGCCAGGTTCAGTTATTTCTAGTATGCTAGATAATGTTTAATCTATCATGTAATATCAAATCATAAATGTCAAACTTGCCAGTTGCCAACTTTAATATTGTTAATTGTTTGAATATTTTCCAGTTGCAACTCTTGGGTTGTCTTGCTGGTGTGGAGATGATACTCAAAGATGTGGGTTACCCTGTGAAGCTTGGAAGTGGAGTTGCAGCTGCCAGTGCATACTTACAGAACAGTGTTCCTCTGATCCCTTCTAGAATTTGAGTCACCAGCCATTCTTGTCATTACTTCTCTTCCTGCTCTTTCAGATTTTATGTAAAATACATATTATACCCTTTTGAACTCTCTTGAAGATGAACATATTCTCTACTTTTAGTTTTAATGTATTGCTTCTTTCATTATCCTGCATATCAGAATTTATTATTGCATCTAATGACCTTATTTATGACTGTGTTATGGACATCTAATTCATCATCAAGTCACTAGGCAAAGAGTACATTTTCTTATAAGTAAAATACTAAACACTCACCCCCTTGCAACAAAGAATAGGATTATTGGATTGTTTATGGATCTATTGTTGATGTGACCTCTTTATAGATCTAGATACAATCTAAGAGTGCAATTAGTTATGGATGTAGTATTACTCTTCTTAAAATGTGTACTTCAATAGTTAAGTAGAGCAATAAAAGTAAAAGAAAATATGCTTACCAGGTTTAGTAGATTCCAATACGTTTGGGTATGTTTGCAAGAAGCACCAAACAAATAAAAGAAAATGCCATTTATTTTATCATTCTCAAATATGTGTCAAACTGCTTAGTCTAAGGAAGAAAATATATATATATATATATATATATATTATTTCAATTCTTTTTCCTCCATTTTTCTGTACTCTTCATTTGAGTAGTCACCAACCCTAATTACTTTGGAATAAAAGTATTGTTGATGTTGATGTTGTAAGTAATTATTATGTTTTTATATTAATAAAAATAATATTTCAAATTTTCATTTTATCTTTTCAAACCCTAATCTTCTTTCTTTGGTCATAGTATGTGATCTCCATATTGATAATTTTTATTTTTATTTTACAAATTACATTATGTCTTACCAGTAAGACTTCACTTGAGTGAAGTCTTACTGGTAAGACATAGTGTAATTTGTAATGTAAACAAAAAATTTATAAATATAACCTTCCTCCAAATATGAATGATCTTAATTTTCTTATATGAGGTGACAATGTCAACAACGGATCCATTCTACTCAAGATATTAGGTCACACCTATGTATGGCCCAAGAGGCCTAATAACCAAGACTTAAAGAAAAATGAATATGTCCACGTTGCATACACATCATCCTGCATATCTACAGCTACGACAACAGTAGAACCTCTATAGCTCTTCAATAACCAATGGCAAAAGGACAAACATGTGATTCCAGCTACGCCTAAAAGACATAACCCATAAATAAACATTCCGCACACGAGATATATAACACCTCTTATATTTTGAAATACATATTTATAATTAAAATGAGGATTAAAGGGTATGATTAGTGAAAATCCTAAGTTCAGGGTCAAAATACGTAAGAAAGGTAAAACGGTAAATCAACAAATACGTAATCCTAAATATAAAATGATAAAATTAGGCCTTAAATGATAAAAAATAATACTGAAAATGGATTTAGAACGAAAAATTGAGTGGTTAGACAAGTTTCTGAAAATCTGATGAATAGTATTTTTATCGGATGAAATACTGCGGTATAGTTGCACCAAAAAATGTGTCAAGTGAGATTAGTTCTTTAGGATTAAATATATGTTGAAAAAGATACTTAGAACCAAGAAATATGATTATTGGTATAAATTGATGGATTTTAGGGTTTTTGGGGAAACGTGCCAACGGTGCACAAATCAGGCTAAAATAGTGATTTCACCGAATTACCGGAAAATCCCAGATTCATCTGTCCAAGGGTAATTAAAGGACTTTGGTGAATGTTAAATTTTGAATTTAATAGATAGTTTATGAATTAATTGGAGATTAGTGGGTTAAGTGGATGATTTGAAATAATTGGAATTTTGTGAGGTGGCGTGTGGGATCCACCCCACTTGAGTGACTTAAAACACATATGCATCAACCACTATTCACTCGTCTTCCTCACCATTCACTCTCCAAAAGCTGAGTTCATCCTCTTCAAAGGGGGTGATTTCTTGCTTCTACTTCCTTTGATCAAAACCCTTAACAATCTACATGAAACTTCATCCAAATCACCCAATGAACGACTTTCATGCTGTGTAATTCCTTTGAAAACCATTGTGTGAGGAGATCCTTGGCATTCTTTGGAAACAAATTTGAGCTTGGTGTGGCCAACAACAGAGGTTGGGCTTGCTTGAGGGCTAGTATATCACTCCATTGAACATTAGGAAGCCATTGGTAATAAATAATTTCATTTCTATTGAGTTTTGATTGAGATCATAAAATTTGTGACCTAAGCCTATGTGTGGTTGATTGGAGGTGGTTGAGGACCTTTAATGGTAGTGTCCCTTTATAATTAAATGCTCATAATGATGATTAATGATGATTGAGCTCATAAAATTTATTGTGAAAAAGTTCATAACTTAGTGAAATTTTTGATGGATGAACATGATTCTTGAGAAAATGGGTTGTTGAAAAAGTGTGAAATTGAGTTTGTAGATTGATTAGAATAGTTAATTACATGATGTATGGTGTATTGGATGATTAAAAATCAATTGAAAATCCCTTGGCCATGGAGAGGTATAGCTTCGGCCATTTGAAGGAAAAGTGAGCAAGTTATGCAAAATTGTGTAATTAGACTTGTTGATGAGTTGAATCATGTATAAATGGATTGTATGAGTGTGTAATGCATGTGAATTGAGAGAAATATCACTTGGTTTTGTTGATGACATGAATTCAGCCATATAGAGAGATTTGGAGGGAAATTGTGCATGTTGGTGTTTGGCTTGAGGAGTTGAGTTAGTGAGTGAGAATTAACTAATGTGGACCTAAGAATGAACCTTGAACCTTGAAAAGGCAAGAAAAATCCCTAGCCCCATTGATGATACATATTCAGCCATATAGGGTGAATGGGGGGGGGGGGAATGTGCTAAGTTATGAATTGTTAAAATTGTAGGATTGATATGGTATTGCGTATGGATAAGGAAACCATTGGAGTGATTGAATAAAATTAACAACATGGATAGGGTATTTTGGCTAAAATGGTCTAAGCATGATCACTTGGACGAAATCATAGAAGATTAAAGCTTGGAGCTTGTGGATTGCCTTTGGTCCTTGACCAAAAGGATTGTGGTAAGTATTGAATCACTTGGTTGTGTGATTGTTTGGATAACCAATTGGGTTATCGTTATGCACATAATGATTGTTGAAATGACCTTTTGTTGTAGGCATTTCTTGTGCAAGTTGAAGTTTGAAATAACTTGCGGTTGAAGCTACCTAACTTGGGAGCTTCAAAGAGATAATCCCTTAGTACTGGGGTTAATCCTCGTGTATGCTCCACCATGCCCAATGGGTAGTGGTTGGATGCAATAGTGTATGTTATAACATGATCATGCATGTCTATGTTGATTGGTATATGTGAGTTTATATCGTATTTCTGGCAAGTAGATAGTTGTCGTATGCCGTAGGGGACTTCCACTAGAGAGGCCTCTGTAGGGAGTTTCAGTTGGCCTGGGGCCATAGAGTTATGATTCGTTGAGAAGCACTCTAGGAATGTCTCAGGAGTTATAGTTTTGGGCGCATTGAATTATATCCCGGGGATATATTCTTGGATATGGACCCAATTGATATGCCGTATATCGTATGCCGTAGGCTATTGGGCTGTGTGATTTGTATGTTTTGATTATAGCATTATTATTGTTATTATACATCTGAGTGAGCCATTGTGCGAAGTGATCCTCTAGAACCTTTGGGTTATGAGATATATTCGATATCTCACCCCGCGTTATGGGGCTATGTTTCAGGTGGATGTAGCGGTGCAGATGTGTTGGGCAAGAGATCCATTGGATGATATGGAGCAGAGCTGTTGGGAGTGCATCATGATATATTATATTTTGCATTTTGGGACTTATTTGGCATGCTAGACTTAGTGCATGAACATATTGTATTGCATGAGTGATGTATACCATGCTTGTTGTTCATGTAGTATTTTGGCTAAGTCTAGTGGGTATTTAATTCTTATTATTTTGAACATTATGATTTAGTAGTTATATTTGTAGTGGATTAAATGTAATTGAAGCATTATGGACCTTGTGTAAATTAAGGATGGATGTATGTGATGGAAAGACAATAAGCCTATTCTAGGTTATTGTTGGACAAGTGGCCTCAAACTCAAGAGGGGGGTGAATTGAGTTTTGAAAATATTTTCGTAAAATGCCTCACTTTTCTTTTTGAAAATGATTTTCTTGAGTTCAAATAATTTACTACACAAAGAAACTAAATAATAGCAAATAATTCAAGTAAATAAATGACAATATATGAAATCAAATATGCTCAAATGATCTAACAATGCTTATGCAAAGATAAGGATTAGAGATATTGCAAACGAGATATATCCTGGTTCGGTCACCACCCCTGTGACCTACGTCCAGACTGAAACCACTTTGTCAACTTTCACTATTCGGTTGAGCTTCAAGGGTGCTCAACAAACCACTACAAGATTCTCCAAGACTTCAGTTACTTGGATATTAACACTTTTCTTCACTTACACAAGGGTTCACTCCCCTCTCAATTCAAGAAGTAAAATTGAAGTGATTAAGAATGGCTAAGTACTCTCAAAGTACAGATTTTACAAATTGAAGAACTAATAGGTGTATAGCTTCAAAAGAAAGATGAGCTCAAGTGTATGCAATAATCAAAGTGAGTAATTAATGAGCAATAATGGGCTAGAAAGAGTAAGAAAGGTTCAATAATTGATCTATGGTCGTGTACTGTTCATCACTGCTGATGTGGGTATTTATATTGACACCTCATTTGAAAACTAGCTGTTTCTAGCCATTGTGATCCGTACATATCCGGATATTTATCGGACATATATCTGGATATCCGGATATTGATATCCGGATATTCTCAGTGCAATATCCGGATATTTCATGGCAGCTCACTTTTTGCACGAATTCTGAGTTTCTTTTCATTCAAAAATGGTTTTTATAACATGGAAGGCATGTAATTGGTTATGGAATATGTCTAGAAGTGTTTATATCATGTAGGTTCCTTTCCAAACCAATTTTGGGCATATCAAACCATTTATTTTGTCATTTCTTTGAAAATGCATTCTTTTAAAAATAAATGAGCAAATTAGGATCATGAATAAGTGTGATTGAACTGTGCAAAGGCTGCTTCGTGCTTAAGTTATATCAAAGACCTTGTAATGCATG